CCAACCGTCATGGGGACTCCAGATCTATGTAGGGTTTACTCCTTAGCCTTTTCTTTTCCTGAAGATATCCCATAAGGCAGTGGAAGTTTAGGATCAGAGTTTTCCTTCTCCTAAATGGGCTCCCTTCCCTAGTGGATTAGCCTCATCTGCCCCTCACTTCCCCCTGCTGCACGGGCAGAAACTGCCTTCTTGACCGTTGACTGTCCGATCAGTCCGCCGGAGCCTACCTTCACATGCAGGGGCAGTCCAAAAAAGTAAGGATTAGATGTTAGGATATAGTTCCCTTCCACCTTAAAAGGGAACAGGCATGACTGTTGTGTGTCACATGCCTGTTTACTTCCAGCACTTGCTGGGAACTTCCGTTTTGTATATTGCTTTTGAGCTGCTGTTTTGCTGGAGACAAAGGGAAGCAGACATGTTTTCCTTTGTTCCTGAGCTATGCTGTAGATAATGCTTTCACATGGCTCTGTCCGCCTCTTCCGTTGTGAGAAGATTTATTCACTCTGCTGATAGAGCGTGCACAGTCCTCTGAAGGTTTCGGAGGCTCGTGTCGCTGATGGATGCTGTTCCAAGAGAGACCGGTGATCGCCCGGCTGCTGGCCGGTGACTGGAGCCAGCTGGAGGCCTGCCTGATGCCCCCGTCTCTCTGGCAGTATCCCAACATTAGGATCCTGAAATCACGTACAGATTTCAGTGAGCGTCTTGTGTGTTGATCAAAGAAAGGAGGAGGTGATGGCTGCAATGGGAAGGAGGCCAGCAAGGCGAGGAGGGTGCCGTGATTCAGGGCTGGTGAGACTAGGTTTCCTTTGTTCCCTCCCTCGTGAGGCTCATACAGGTTTACCTGTGTAGGGGATACAGGCCACCTCCTAAGAGAAGCCCCTCCCACCTGTGTAGTGATCAGATGGGATTACTATGAGGAATTATAAAATATGCATCAAGCCATTGTGTCCACGATGAAAGCATTGCATTGACTGGGTTCGATTCATTGACAATAATTTCTGATCAAATCCCACAAGCCTCTGCATTTCTGGCCATTTTCTCTACTGTTCATTTTCTACGCCTGACAGGCACGTATAAGCATTCTGAAACCCAGGCCAGTTGCTTCATCAGGCATCCTCAGTACATAAAGATACTTGGCAGTTTCTTTGATGTAGCTGTTGTTAGTTTTGTTAATCTTAGGGCCAGGAAGAGAGTTCAGGAAGAGAGTTCACAAGGCGATGGTAAATACTATTTACTGCTGTTTATGACCTCCAGGTTTCCTAAAAGCATTGCTTCCTATTTTATTTACTCTGGACTACTATGCATGCTCAGGTAGGAAATAGTTTCTTTGTAGTTAAAAGAATTTCTTCTGATCTAACTTTGTCCCCAGGTGGGCTTTTTTGAAATGCTCAGAGGAAATCTGATTGGTTCTTACAAACACTGTGTAAAAAGTTCTTTTGTGAATAAAACGACCTGGGCCGAGGGGCGGAGAGACAGATTATTATACGCACTCCTCCCAGAGTCTTGCTGGCCAAGCCTCTGTGTGAATTTTATTAATTAGAGTCCAATCCTTCCTTTGCTTTGGGAATGCCACACACCTGTCCGTCTCTCTGCTAGCGCGTGCCTCCTCCACCTTCATCTCGCCGCATCCCATTCCCATCCTTGTATTGACGCCTCATTGTCCTCCCCCACCCCATTGTTTCATTGTAGACCGAGGGGGGCGAGGAGGCAGCCCCGCAGAACGGAGCTGTGACCGCCCCCCCGCCAGGTGGCAGCCCCCCCACGCAGGAGAATGGCGTAGGGCTGCCCACGCCCGCCCAGGGTGGCGGCGGCGGCGACCAAAGGGAAATTCAGTGCTTCGACACTCACATACAAGAAACAAGTAAGTGCCAGGCCTTCCTCTGTGCCTCCCCAAAGGTGCTTTGCGATGATGGGGGGGGCGGGCGGGAGGTGAGGGGTGATGAGAGCGGGAGGCGGACGTTGGGGGTGGGACACCAGGCAGCTTTTCCTAAGGAACCTTCTGGAAGGCAGGAGAAGTCCTTTGCCCTCCTCCCTAGTAGGAGAGGGAGAGTGCGGAGGGGCCAGGCGGCTTAACCCGCCCCCCACCGTCCCTGTTACCGACTTCTGAAGCGGGAGGGAAGGGGAGAGGAAACGTCCCGGCGCGCCGCCTTGTTAATGAAGCCACCTGCGCTTTTATTTTCCAGGCATCTAACGATGACATTCTGGTGTCGCCTTCCTTCCGCCCCCCCCCCTTTTCCTCCCTCCCCACCCCCCATTGCCGTCTTCCCCCCGCTCCCCCCTTGTGTCGCTGCAGATTGAGTCCCACAAGCTGATGTTCCGTGAGAAGGCCAAGGCCCGCACGGACCACGGGGCGGACCCCACAGCCTCCAACCACCCCCCTGTCTTCTCCGGCGGCACCTCCCCACGGCGCAGCACCTCGGTCAGCGAAAGCCTGGCCTCAGCCGCCTCCACCTCTCTGCAGCCACCGCCGCCACCGCCGCTGCTGCCGCCGCCACGGCAGGCTCCCCTCGCGGAAGAGACGGCGGCCGCTCTTCCTCAGCAAGGCTTGTGACTCTGCCCCCTTCCCGCTCTCCTCCTGCCCTCCTCCCGCTCGCGAGAAGCTCGTCTCCCTTGACCCGGAGCCTGGCTTTGTTTGGCCCTGGAAAGGTGGGCTGGCCTCCCTGCCCCACGGCAGGGGACCTCTCTGGAGTGTGCCAGGCTGCCGCTGAGAGCCTCCGTGGCGTCTGGTGGTTGGTATCTCTGGGTGCAGAAATGGGCTGCCCCCCGGGGGGTGTCCGAGTGTGCGTTGGAGTTGTTTTGGTTTTGTCCCGTCCTTCTTGGCTTGCTGTGTGGGGACTAGGGAGGGAACGCTGGTCTGCCCCACTCGTGGCGGAGCCCGAGACCCAGGCGGGAGCTAGCGGGAGTCAGCTTCGCTGCTCTCTTTCCCCCTCCAGCAACCCATTTCCCTTTGCCCTGCGTCATTTCGCGCTGCCTACTATTTAATGCTGGTCTATATATTATTATTATTCTCACACATGATAATTTCACTCTCTTTTGGAACTCTTTTAACTCCTTAACCTCCTTCTCTCCCCCAGTCCCCCAACCCTCCTCCTTCTCATTGTGATTTAAAAAAGTACAATAAAGTGTTTGCCGATTTCTGTCGCTTGTTACCGCAGGCTCACCGCGCTCCCTTCCCTTCCCCCCCTTGCCCTTTGCCATAGGAGAATTAAAAAAAACAAAACGTTAACCTCTGCTGCAGTGCTGCTGGCTTCTTATCGACATATCCAGCCATTTTAACTGTGTTCTTTTTCTTTCGTTTTTTAATTTTTTTTTCTTCATTTGTGTGTGGTGTTTATTTTTTGTGTGTGCTTAAAAAGGAAAAGGAAAAAAACTTTGAAATGATGGAGCAAAAAAAGGCATTGAGCCACGTTGGTTGAAAGTTCTTGAGGATGCATTGAGAGGAGGTTGTGGGTGGTAGAGGAATGGCGTTCACTGCTCCCCTCCCAAAAAAAAAAAAGCTATGAAGGTCCTTTTTAACTGACTGCTGCAGAGAAAAGCCCTGGTTCTTTTGAGGGTCTGCTGTATTGCATCTCAACAGGATCTAGTTCCCATGGGGGGGCCCGATCCTCCGCTGCCCATCCTGGAGAAAGAGCAGGGGAATATATTTGCAGGATTTAATCCTCAAGGCACGATGGGTTTGGCTCCGGGATCTGTGCACCTTGGAGCTGGGGTGGAGTCTGGCATTTATAAGGAAGCTCGCCCCTGGCAGTGGGGCATCCTGGCAGAGCTGGGGAGGGAGTGGTGTGGGGAGACTGCTTGACCGCTGCCCCACCCCCACCCCCCAAAATACCAAGAGGGTCATGGGAAAGTGTTGAGGGTCTGACGAAAGGCAGCGTCTGCATGGGACTGGCTAGGTGATCTGAAGGTGCCAAGGAGAGAAAGAGGCAGAGATTGCTCTCCTTTGGAAGAAAAGACCCATTTTTTCTTCTAGGGGTGGGTATGGGTTGGATGGGGCTTGTGGGGGGTGGGGAGTGTTGGCAACAAGAGTTTGAGCACCTTCGGCAATTTTATTAAAATTTTTTGCATTGCAAATGACACTAAAACGAAATGTAAATAAAACTTTGAAAATGGTGTGTTGTGAGAGTCGTGGGGGAATTCTGAAAGGGAGAGGGGGGACCCAAACCGCAGGGAACAAATATTTGGGCGGGGGGAGGGTTGTTTTGTAGGCAGACTTCTGCTGGGAGGCAGGCAGGAGATGATGGCTGTGGGAAGGAGGAGCGATGATAGCACAGCTCTCTCTCCCCCCCCCCCCTTTTATCTCTTGGTCACAGTGTGCTTTTCAGCAACACAGCAAACCCGGGGTCTGCATTCACACACAAAAGACATATTGCACTTGTGGTTGTTGTTTTTATATATATATAAATAAATATATATATATATAAATATTAAAGGTTGCATGGTTTCTAATAAAATGGCTTTTTAAAACCTTAGCGGGGCTTTTTTTCTTCCCCCTTTTTGGCATCAAAACGGTATGCTGAAATCTCATGAATCGCATCTCCCTTCCCCTCCTTGGAATACTATAGAAACCTTTTAAGGAGGAAGTTGCAGGTTTTGCACCTAGAAAGGGGCCTGTCTGTGTACAGAAATATATGTATGTGTGCTTGTGATCCATCTTGCCCACCTTCCATCTCGGCCACGCTGATTCCAAGTCTGCTTCCAAGTCTGTTGCAAAGCTTGCTGCACCTGCCCACCGGCTCTCCCGCCCTCCAGATCTCAGGAAGCCCCCCACTCACGTTGTTACACGTTGCTGTGCAGCTTCCTCGCACGTTCCCATCCGCCACCCCGGTACCAACTCCTCCTTCTTCCTGCCCTGGCATTTCCCTGTGAGACCTTGTCCTGGCAACTCCAACCTTTTGTTTCAAACAGGCAATGCAGGCAATGGAAGCTGAAGACGGGGGTGTAATAGGAGACACCCCCAAATCTCCTCTGCTTTGAGGGCCAGGCCCCATGGAAAGCCTCCTTCAAATGGGTGGGGTAGCTTTGCAAAAGCCCAGTGGTTCCTCCCCACTTGCCCCGGCGAGGTTTGCGTAGGTGAACATCTCATCGAACTGGTTCCCCCGCTTAGATTTTGGATTCCTGGCTCCTCCGGGAAGGTTTTTTCCTGGGTCGGAGAGGCCTATAAACAGTGGAACTGCTCGCCTCAGGAGCGAGACGCTGCCTTGCGCCGCTTTAGCAGCATCCCTGGGCGGCAGCATCTTCCTAGCGGAGCAGGTCCACTTGTGTGTGCGCGCGTTTTTGTGTTCCAGCCCTTCGAGATCTCCACTTCCACCTGCCGCGCATGGCTCCCTTCCCCTCCGGTCTACATCCCTGCCCTGCGGCTGATGACGTCTCCCGGTCTCTCGCCCAACCTCTAAACACCAGCTTGGGTTTTCCACTCCGCTGACCTCCCCGCTGCCAGGCCAAGGGGTGGTGATGGCAGAAGGGGAGCGCTTGCTTAGGCGACCCCCTTGTCCGACAGGGAAACTTGTCCCTTGAAGCAATAAGGACAGCCTGTGTGCTCGAAAATGGGAGCTTCCTGGGCTTCCGTAGAAAGGCAAGCAGTTGCCTCCTCGACCTCCTGCCCTACGAAGCTTGTGGGGCACATGCTTTAAAAAAGAACGAAAAGAAGCCGAGACTTGCAGCTTCTTTCGCAGAAAAGTGTTTGGGGGGCTCAGATACTTCAGCAGGAAGCCCCATTGTCTTGGCTTCCCTTTCCTCTGACCCCCAAGTTGAGGAGCAATTGACTTTTGTTTGCTGGAGGGTCCTTCTCCTGTTTGCAACGATGTTTCTCCTACGATCCGTCGCTTGAGGACTCTCACTTGGAAAGTCAAATAACATTGCACTTTATCTTCCGTGATAGCGCAAAAAAAAAAAAAAGTGTCTTGTAAAGGGTTGTCGATTCCTTCTTTGTTCCCGACCCGAATCACTTTGAGGTGGTCGATATTAGCACCCGCCTGTCTTGAGAACATGTGCAGGTTCCGGTTGCGCCCAGTCCTGCGGTGTGCGCGCACTCGTTCCCGCACAACACGCTCACTTAACACGTGTCGTGCCTGTGTTTTTAGCCTTAGACCCGGAGAGACGCTTAAAGACGATTGCTACGGGGAAGTTTTTCTTAGTCCCCAGCTTTGGTTTCTAATAAGGATTTTTACAACAATGCAATTTTAGATTTGAAAGTAGCTTGTAAATACTGCAATTCTGGGGCGGGGCAGGGTGGGTTGGGGAGAAAGGGCTTTCGTAGCCCAGCGCTGGTCTCCTTTTCCTCCCTCTTGTTTTGGAGGGGCAGGAGCAGATTTCAATGGGGGGGGTTACGTAGGTATTTTTTACAAAACGGAGCATGAGAAGTATTAGAGGCGGTGGCTGTTAGGCTAAGAAGCGAAAGCAATAAATGAACCGCCCTTGCTCCCAGGGCTGTGTTTGAGAACTTGGCTTAGATCTTGTCTCTGTTTGACCGTCAGGTTTCAGCGCAGCTGAAAAATGTGGCCATAGATATTTATTTGGTAAGGGTGGAAGATGCATCTGAACCATGAGGCCGCAATCCATTGGGGTGGGACGTTCTCCTGCGGAATCCCCATTGGGAGAACGCCCTCGTGGATCGTGGCCTCATGCTAGCTAGTGTAGAGGGAGCTGCCATCCAGTTTTTCCACCTAAGAGGCACAACCCTTGGAGGTCATGCTTAGGTTTTTCTTCCCAGGGCAGCACTTCTTACAGCAAGTGGAATCTGCAGCTCTGCACGTCACAACCAGCCTCCCTCGTGAGTTAGCCAATTTGCAGGACAGTGTTTGGCTTAGGGTGGACGATCCAGGCGATCCATTTTGGCAGAGGCGTGGCATAAACGGGCTTGAGGAAGGAGGAGGCAGCAAGACACACCCGTGCACATGTAGCTGTGTGACTCGCTCCCTATTTGAGCTTTGGGAAGTTAACAACCAGGCTGAGAATCCCAAGGTTCTCCAGATCTTTGACTCCAACTCCCATTGGCCATGCAGCCTGGGCGGGGTCAATGGGAGTTGGAGTCCATCTGCAGTTGGAGGGCACCTCTTTTCCACCTGTGGTTTACAGAAGCCGTAGGTCTGTGTTCTTTCCATCGGGGATCAGAGTTCCGCAGAACCTTGGAAGTTTTGTGTTGTTGGGCAAGGTTGTCCGTGTTGGGCATCATTCCCGGAAAATGAGGCTTGAGCTTGGATGGTGGAACGAACAATGGCACTGGTTAGATATAAGAATGCAACTTGGGTGTGTAGTTTTTTAACCTGGAGGTGAATTGTAGTTTTGCGGCGCCCTTTTAGGGGGTGGTTTTCCCTCTTGCTTTCCTTGGGGTTCCTCAGAAAGAAGATGAGGCTTCACCGGATAGCTTCTCCATGACTTTCCCTCTTCCCTTGCACTATGCTGTTAAGATAGAATATTGGGTGTGCTGTTGATCATTCCGTTCAGTGGTGAGGCCCACAGGCCTGGCCAGTTGCACACTAAACAGCGACCCCAGCCTCATCTCCACTGGGGATGGGGAGCCCGTGGCGCTCTAGGTTTTGTTTGGCTCCCTGCTCCCCTTAGCCTGAGCCTGAGGATTACAAATGCAGCCCAGAAACAACCGAAGAGATCTCTCATGCCTAATCTGCAGCGACACGTGTTCGGTGTGAGGGTGCCCTGGTTAGACCGAGGGCAAGGGAAGTGCAGTTCCTGGTGTTTAGGAAATGCACTTTGCTTTTAGGGAATTGCTTGATGAAGGGGGAAGGGAATCAAGAAGCTTCTCAAGACAGCCGCTTTGCTTGGGCAGCAAGCCAAGCCCTCCCCCAAGGAAGCCAGGAGATTAGCCAGCTGGTCCAGTGGTGGATTAGGAGGCAGCTGGTTGAGGTAGCCATCAGCTGGTCCCCATTGGATTAGGAGAGGTTCTCCTCTTCGCAAGAGGCACAGGGGCACTCTTAGCCCAGGGAACACCTTGTTTTGAAGCCTCTGTGCTTGTGATAACGGTCAGGGTGGAACACGCTGGTGAAGAAAGTGTGTGGCATAGATGCTAGGAGGCGAGGGGCTTGTTGCCTTTCAGCTGGCATGGGGGGGTGTGGTCCTGCCATCTTGGGTGATGCGCTTGCGGCTGCATCCTCTTGGGCAGAAATGTGGCCACAGACGTGGGTTTCGGCGCCGTAGTGTCACATATCAGTGGTACGCACAAAACAGAGCAGGAATTGGGTTATCTGCAGCCAAGCAGAGATGGGTCTGGATCAAGAGGCCCGGGTGAGAGGCTGTATAGGGCTCTGGCAGCAACCTGGACGCCTCTCTGCCAGCCCAGGGTAATTCTTCGCCTTCCTTGCAGACGACTTGAGGGTAAAGACAGCTGTAGGCTTTTAAGAGCTGTCAAGAGTGGGCCCTTAACCCATTAGGCATCCATCTGTGTCTTGCTCTAGCCTTGCACATCAAGCCAGCCTCATCACCACTATTATTATTATTATTATTATTATTATTATTATTATTAAAAGCAGCATGCTCATGTTAATTTCCATCCTTTGCCTTACCTCCTCCAAAATACGACCTGCAAGCATTCTTAAAACAGTTGCAAAACTACGTGGCGGGGTGGAAGCGGTTGTTGATGTCACAGCAGCTAGCCAATAGGTGCTCTGCACAAGTCTCTCCCCTCCCTCCCACTAGCTCTTTTCACGCAGAGCTACTTGGAAAACCTGCAGACCTGTTTTGGTCCAGAAAGAGAAACTGTTTTGATTTGCAGAGCAGCGGGGACACCATCAGTATGCCTCCCTCGCTCTTAAAATGAACATCTGTCTTTACCCTGAATGTACTTTTCGCCACTTGGGCTACTGTATGACAGAGTAGCTTGCAAGTGGCATTTCTGATTTGTCTGGCATTTCTGATTCCCTTCCATCGTGGGGCGGACAGGCTCAGGAAAGCCATGCACACACCCAACTGTATCAGGGCTGGTCCAGAGGGACGAAGGATGCTGGCTGAAGCTTTGGCATGCTGGGGTCTTTAGATTCGCCAAGGAGGCTCTGGGAAATAAAAAGTACCGATTCCCTTGTGGCTGTACTTGGACAGGGTGGGGCTACAGCTCAACGCAGAGTGGTTAAACCGAATAAAACGCTGTGAACTCTCCACTTTGCTTGTAAAGATTCTTATAGTTTTATCACAGCCGCCCCCAACCTGGGGCGCTCCAGCAGGGTTGAACTACAACTTCCAATAGGCCCTGTTGGGAGTTGTAGTTCAAACCTAGTAGAGCGCCCCAGGTTGGGGGAGCCATGGCAGAACGGAGAATGGCAACGGCCGCTCAGTTAGCTGGAGAACCAAACGGGGTGTCCTCTTCGTAACGGCCGGGATGCGCTGCCTGAAGCCCCTTCTTGGGGTGGTGATGACGTCGGAAAAGGCAGAGCGGCTGCTGGCCTGTTTCCTACGAGGGCTTGCAGGAACTCAAGAGAGCAGGTGCCATTGCAATATCGGGAGATTAATCGAGCTTCCCTCCCCTGCAGTCTCTTACGAGCACCATCCGGATTAAGAAACACCCCTTCCTCTCCCCTCGCTTTGGCGATTCTCTGTCTACGTCAGCGACAGTACAGAAAGGGCAAGAGGGTAAATAGAAGCGGTTAGGTTATCTGTGCCACTACAGCGGGTGATTTGCCCATCTCGAATGAGCGGGAACGAGCACTGGCCTTGCAAAGGGAGGCAGAGAGATTGGGGTGGCCTCGGCAAAAATGTCTGCCTTGTGTGTGTGTGTGTGTGCGCGCGCAGAAATCATTGCTGTAGCCGTAGGACAGCCTTCGCCAAGCTGGTGCCCTCCCGGCTGGCTTGTGGACTGCTGGGAGTTGTTCTTGGGGCGCCTCCTTGGTGAAGGGCCAGAGCCGTCTCGCACGACTTCGCCTGGTGCGGCTGTGCAACCAGAAGGGAGCACCACTCCTGGTCGTGGCTGCACATGGAGGTAGAATTACGCAGGTGTTCCCACAATAGCCTAGCCGGGTGGTGCTGGGGCGAGGGAGGGAGGGAGGGAGGGAAGGGGTGTGTTCAGAAAATGCATGGGTGCGATGGCGCCTGGAACGCAGGAGAGAGGTGGTTGGACAAACCTGTCCGGGTGGGAGCTCAGAGGACCCTGCTGTCACGACGGCAGGATCTTAAAACCCGTTTGCTTCTGTTTACCTTCCTCTCCTGTCCTCGGACTTGTAATAGTTACTGACTGTCTCCGTTTTTAAAAGCAGCTGTTTCCGGATTTGATGTTGTGATTCTTACCTATTGTAAAGGGTTTAAATAAAGCTTCTAGATGTTCAACCTTGGCTGCCAGCTTTAGTCTGAATTCGTTTTTTTGTGGCTCTGGGTTCTCTCTCTGTCGTAGGAAGCTGCCTTGAGACAAGAGTGTGGCTGTTGGCTCATCTAGTTCAGCGGTGCCTAAACCGACCCGATAACAAGTCTACAGGGCTTCAGGCAGAACATCTCCCCGAGTCCTACCTCCCTGGGGATGCAGTTGGGCTTGAACCTGCAAAGGAGGTGCCTTTCCACTGAGCTATAGCTCTTCTCTCGCCTCCCTCCCTTTCCTTCCCCCCGCCAAATGGATGCTTCGGTCGAGAGTCCCCCTTTGCAGGGGATTGGACTAAATGACCCTCGGGGTATTTTCCAACTCTGCCGTTCTATAATTCTATAATCCTGTGGCGGTGAGTTCCATAGTTCAGCTCCACACTGCATGTAGTGCTTTCTCTTTCTGACAGCAAGAGCTGTTCGACAGTGGAACAGTCTCCCTCGGGAGGTTGTGAACTCTCCTTCCTTGGAGGTTTCTAAGCAGAGGTCAGATGGCCATCTGTCCTGGATGTTTTAGTTGAGATTCTTGCACTGCAGGGGGTTGGACTAGATGACCCTTGGGTCCCTTCCGACTCTACGATTCTATGAAAGCAGAGTGCTCTACGAATTTCAAAACACAGCAAATGGCAGAGAGTTTAAAACACTGCCTCTAAGCTTCCTGCGACGCTCCCTCGCCCCCCCCCAAAAAAATACACGCGTCTTTTCCGCAGAAAGGAAAAGCCCTTGAAATCGGCTGCATTTACATGCTGCTAATCTCCCTGATGTTAAAATGAATTTGCGCACAGAGAGGATAATCCTGGTTTCCAGCTAACGGAATAAGGAATTAATAATGCCGGCGGCCTCTTAAGAGAGGGGGGAATCTAAGGCTCTGGCCTGTTTCCTGCAGAAGTTGAGGACCTCCACTCTTGATGCCGCAACCCCTCACACACACACACACACACACACCCAAAAAATCAAGGAGAACCACACGAACAACCTTAGCCAACCTGCGGTGTTCCAGATATCTTGGATTGCAACTCCCAGCTGTGCAGGCCGAGTCTTGTGGGAGACGACATCCAGAACATCTGGATGGTGTCAGATTCGCAAAGGCTCCTGTAAGTTGTCCCCCTGTTTGCTTTTAGAAACCCACCGAGTAATACGGAGGAGAACCTACTTGGTGTTGGTCAGCAAGTGGCTGAAACGAGACACAGGAAGAGGGATCAGACTGGAGTTCAGGAAGGGAGAAAGAGGTCAGTGGATACTAGGAGCGGCTTTCTAGGAGCTGGGTGTGTTAAGGGGTGAGTGGAATATAGCGTCTTGAACTAGGGGTGAGCCTTCCAAATGTGGAGGTCAATATTGCAAATGGTTTGTTTGTTCCCCCCTCCCCAAATTGGATCGTGCCCAACAAAGGAAAATCCATATTAAATGTGAGCAGGGGAATACAAGCTGCATTTTTGCATTAAGGGCACCACGACAGAAAAAATAATGTTTATGTGATGAGCCTAACTCCCCTCCAGTGATAAGCACCAGACTGAGCTTTGGGTTGGTTAAGGGCACCATACAAACAGTTTCAAAGGCACACACTAAGTGTATTTTGCATAAAGAGTATAAAAAGTTTGGAGAGCTATTCTGCCTGACCCCTGAGTGCTAGTTTTCTGTGCTAAATTCTCCATCAGTGTCTTACCAAGACTCAGTAAGTCGAAGCACATATGCCAGTGTCTTTGAACGTACTTAAGCTGCAAGACAAGCGGAAAACAGAACTTGTTTCAAGCAAGTGAGAAAACTCCACGCTTGCAGCCAGGGGTGGTTTATTATTTAGGGAGCGCTTTAAACCGTATACAAAAACCAGAGCACCAAACAGATCCTGCCCCACACACTTATTATCTTAAAGAAAACAAGCTGCTGCGAAAATCCTGGGACGATTGCAAACCCGTTGTGCGGAAAAGGACAGCACACCTGAACTTGACAGACGGATGAGAGAGGCAACACTGGGAGAAAGAAAATGTTTACATGCCAAGGGAAGGAAGCAATGAACTGCTGGAGGGCAAGCAGAGGCCAAGGGTTTGGTAGAGATGCTCTTAACGGTGGGGAGTGGTACCCGAGGGGCTCTCGAACAGCGTAAGAGGGTCATCCCCAACTCTGGAGCCCTCCAGTGGTTTCGAACTACAACTCCCATCAGCACCCCCAGCTGATGGGAGTTGTAGTCCAAAACCGCTGGAGAAGGCTAGAATGAATGGAGCTAGCAGGCCCATCTGCATTCGGGCTTGGAAGCTGCAGAGTCATTTGGCCATGGCCAAGAGACTCTGGGAAGAAGGAGCCAGCCAGCCACCCACCTACCCAACCGTCTTGGCAGGATGACAAGAAGTGCACTACAGCACCAGCCAGGGAACGCCCTAGGGAAGCCTCAGAGGAGGGTCAGAGCCCAGGGAGTGGTGGAGGGACACAGAGGACAGGCAAGAGGGGGAAGGACAGGAGAAATGGTTGGAGGCAGAAGAAGCAACAGGCTTTAGTGAGCAAGATGGACCAGGTGCAGAAAGCAGTTCAGACTCGGATGGTGAAGCAGAGGAGGGGGCAAAAGCATCCCAGAAGCTTGCCACTCCTGCTGTACTAAGCTCCCTGCCTTTGTCTCCAAGGACATGGACGGCTATGTCTGTAGCAGAACAAAGGGCACAGATTCCCCTCCCTCTGGTGTAGGCTGCTTGGAAAACAGGAGACTTGGGGAGGGGGCAGCAGAGGGCAGAGACCTTCATTCCCTGTAACTGCAATGATGGGAGGCGTTGCCGAGCTGTAAAGAAACAAATACACCGCTGAACTGTGCGCCTTGTGCGCTGAGCTACACCTGAGCCAGCACATTAACTTTCCACTCGGACGTCCCCCTCCGTGCCCTCAGGCACCCGGGCAGAGCCCGCCTGTCCCTGCTGCTGCTGTTCCTCAGCGCTATGAACCCTCCAGTGGTCCTTCAGCGACTTTTTCCTCCGGAACCTCTTCCCGCACTGGGCGCAGGCGTAGGGCCGCTCCCCGGTGTGGGTGCGCTGGTGCTCCTGCAGGTGGTGCTTGCAGATGAAGTCCTTGCCGCACTCGGCGCAGTGGTAAGGCCTCTCGCCCGTGTGCAGGCGCAGGTGGGGCACCAGGTGCTGCTTGCGCACGAAGCCCTTGCCGCACACCGAGCACCGGTAAGGCCTCTCGCCCGTGTGGATCATGCGGTGCCGCAGCAGCTCCGAAGGGGAGCTGAAAGCCGTCCCGCAGAACGAGCACTCGTACTGCTTCCGTTTCTGGTGGTTCATTTGGTGCATCTGGAGGCTCAGCAACAGGCTGAAGGTCTTGCCGCAGTCCGCGCAGCGGTGCGGACGCTCCACCGCCGCTTCCGGCGTGCCCCTGGCCGAGGGAGAGCCAGGGTGCCTCCCGCTGCGGGCGCCGCGGAGGCCGGGGAGGGGCCGGCTCTCGCCAATGGCGCCGTTCAAAATGGGCGCCACCGAGCCCCCGGGGAGGAAGAGCAGGAGGGGTGGGTTGGCAGGGTCTTCCTCGCTCGGCGCTTCCTCCGGGTGTGGCTGGGCTCTGGCGTTAGCTGGGTGGCAAGGAAGAGAGAGGAAAAGGTTTGGTGTAACCATCGTATTGAAAGTTTTTTAGCGTATTATTAAACACTGACATTGAAACTCTTTCCCTTTCCTCCTGCGCGCTAGATAGCAGCGGGGGGGGGGGAGGGGGCTAAGAATTCAAAAATCAAACAGATAATCCCCAGGGCTATCTGGCTGAATTGGTCCTACTTGGGCCAGTGAGGAGGCCAGGGGAGAATTAGCTGTGGGGTCTCAGAGCGGGTGATCTTCATAAAAGGGGAGGGGGGAAGAGAAGGGAAATAAAAGATCAGGCTGAATTCAAATTAAAGGCCAGGCGGAATAGCTCTGTCTTACAGGCTCTGCGGAAGGAAGTTAAATCCTGCAGGGCCCTGGTCTCCTGGGACAGATCATTCCACCAGGTCGGAGCCATCACTGAGAAGGCCCTGGCCCTGGTGGAGGATAATCTGACTTCCTTAGGGTCTCTAAACTATGATTATTCATGGACCTTAAGGTCCTCTGCAGGGCAGACCAGGAGAGGCAGTCCCGTAAATACGAGGGCCCTAAGCCACAAAGGGCTTTAAAGGTCAAAACCAGCACCTTAAACCTGACCCGATACCGAGAGCCAGTGCAACTAACCTCTACACCACACCTGCCCCTAACCACTCTGCGCCACGTTAGGCCTGTAGGCTGGCAGATGCTTCCCCACTGCCCAAAGAGGCATGAGTGGAATTGCAGAGTTGTAAGGGATCCCTGAGTCATCTAGTCCAACAGGAATCTCAACGGACGGTCCCCCATCCAATTCGTAACCACGCTGGACTCTGCTTAGCATTGCAAACATGCTGGCGGTTTGTAGCTATTTGGCCTTGCTGCCTTACCCTTGCTTAAGTCTCCTACTCACCATTACAAACGCTTTGAGGCCAGTTTCCTCCATCCCTTCCTGCTGAAGGCTCCTCTTCTTTGACCCATGAAACTGCATCCGACCTGGAAGCCGGTGACCCTGTCAAGCGGGAGGGGGAAAGGGAGATTTATTTATTTTTTTTAAATCGTTTTTATTAATTTTCCAACAAAAAACATCCAATTAACATATCCAATCATGATCCAATTAAAATAAACAACTAAAATAAAAAAGACCAAATTATCATCCAAATTATAATTATTCATTTCTCGGGACTTCCCACAGTCTGGACCCCTGAAGCCTATCTCCAAATCTCAGTTCTGCCTCTCCTTCTTGTTCCCGTATTTTCCACATCTCGATTTTAACACTTTGGGAAAGGGAGATTGAAGTGGCTTGGAAAGCCAGCTTCCCCCGTTGCTCCGCCCAGATCAAATAGATCAATAAACACCCACCCATGTCATCCTCCATATTGAGATGCCAGATTACTGCCTTCTTAACCGCTGGACCCAACCTTGGTCTCGCCTGCAGCATCCACCGGAGCCTGTCTTCACATGCAGGGCAAGCCCCTAACTCACGAAGGGCTTGAGACACATCAGCTGCCCTCACCTGGTTTAGCCGGACATTTGGTCATTTCCCAAGTTGTTTACACTGTCGCATGCTGACAGCTTCTAGAAGCCCCAGGTGAGAGCTTGAGTGCAGGTTTGGGACCGAAAGAGAAAAAAACTCCCCCAAAAGGAGCACGACGGCGTATCTCCCACCAGTGGTACTACCCCTCCCCTAGGTCAGCATTTTCATTCTCCCGTTGCTGGATATGTGATTGTTACATCACATGTCTGTGTTTACTTTCCAGGCTTGGGAAGTGGGAGAACGGAAGTCAGTCTTATCTCTTCCACTGGGTTGTACAGTCATACCTTGCGTTACGGCCACTTCAGGTCACGTTTTTTCGGGTTATGCACCCACCGAAACCTGGAAGTACCGGAACGGGTTACTTCCGGTTCCGGCAGTCACGCATTCACAGAACTGCTAAAGCGCGCTTTGCACATGCGCAGAAGCGCCGAAACGCAACCCGCACATGCGCAGAAGCGCCGCTGCGGGTTGCGAGCGTGCATCCAGCACGGATCACGTTCGCAACCCGAGCGCCCACTGTACTTTTGTACTTTTTCTCTCTCTTCGAGAAGATGTGAGAGGACGCCATTATTGCTTTGTCCTGTATATATTGCTTAATAAATTACCTTGAATGCCACAGCTAATCTCCACGTCGTTTCGGCTATACTCTGCTGATACCTTCATATCTTTGGATATGTGTCGCTGGTGCGCACCGGGACTGAAGATTTATGACATCCCGGGCTGCGCTTCATAAGGAAGACGCCCAGAGAGGTTTGTCTCGATCTGAGGGCTGCGTGTGCCCCCAGGCATGTTCCAACACCCTAAAGCCCCAAACACCCCTGGAAGGCACCAGTTTAATAGAATTGTAGGGTTGAAAGGGACCCCAGGAGTCATCTACAACTCCCTGCACTGCAGTATATAACAGCAGCAACAACAACAACAACTTATTTATACGGCCTAGGACCCTCGTACCTACGGGACTGCCTCTCCTGGTATGTCCCACAGAGGAACTTACAGTCTTCAAACAAAAACATCCTGAAGTCCCAGGCCACAGAGAGGTTAGGCTGGCCTCAACTAGAGCCAGGGCTTTTTCGGCCGTGGCCCCGATCTGGTGGAACGCTCTGTCCCAAGAGACCAGGGCCCTGCGGGACTTGACATCTTTCCGCAGGGCCTGCAAGACGGAGCTGTTCTGCCAGGCCTTTGGTCGGGGTTCAGTCTGACTCCCTCTCCCCATTCATAAGATCTTGCATGAAAGTGGCCTCCCAATTTTTCTCACAGGCCCATATAAGTTCAGCACAAACTGTTGGGCCTGGTGAAAATTAAGGTCCCCAATCCTAATCTGCGGGTTGCCATCTGATTGGATTTTATTCTGATCCTGATCTGATTTGAGGATGTATTTTAATTGATTGTCTGACTTTATGTTAATGTGTTATACATTTGATGTTAGCCGCTCTGAGCCCGGCTTCAGCTGGGGAGGGCGGGATATAAATAAAATTTATTATTATTATTATTATTAATACCCCGCCCATCTGGCTGGGTTTCCCCAACCACTCTGGATGGCTCCCAACAAAATATTAAAAACAGGCTGAGACATCAAACATTAAAAACTTCCCTAAACAGGGCTGCCTTCAGATGTCTTCTAAAAATCAGTTCTTTATCTCCTTAACATCTGGTGGGAGGGTGTTCCACAGGGCAGGCACCACCACCGAGAAGGCCCTCTGCCTGGTTCCCTGTAGCTTTGCTTCTTGCAATGAGGGAATCGCCAGAAGCCCCTCGGCGCTGGATCTCAGTGTCCGGGCAGAACGATGGGCGTGGAGACGCTCCTTCAGGTATACTGGACCGAGGCCGTTTAGGGCTTTCAAGGTCAGCCCCAACACTCTGAAATTATTTCACAAACTAAGAAATCCAATCGTCCATGTTGCTTCCTTTTTTTTTACAGCCGATGTTTAAATCATGCACTATACAATGCAAATATACAGTTCCAAGGCTGCCCCCAGGCAGCAGGAAGATTTCTTTGAGCCAGTGCAATATACATTAAAATGCTGCAAAGTTTCGGCCTTGAAATGGAACTGAAATGCCCCACCCAGGTCAGTAGTTTTCAAAAAAAAAAATTGTGAATTGCTTGAAACTTCCTGGAGTGTGGAAGGCATTTGCCAGAGGTGCTGGGTCCCTAGGCTGAGCGCCAATGCCCCCCTGCTCTTACAGTTCTGCTGCATGAGCTGCTTTGAATCTGGGGTGCGTCCCCCGAAATCTCATCGCTCACCTGCGTTGTCTGAAGTAGAGCCCTTGTGAGTTTCTGCTTCCAAGTTGCCCCCCTGCAGTGACTCACAGGGGTTGGCTCCTTCTGCGTCGCTCGGTAAAGTATCCAGTCCAGAAACCGTATAATCTGTTGGGGAGCCGAGCAGCAGAGTTAAGATCCCTATTGTGCTATCACTGTTTTGTTTTCAATTCCTTTCAGTATATTTAAGGAATCACAGCACAATGACGTACAAGAATACAGAAAGAAATGAAGGAAGGCAATCCAACGGAAGTAAAATTCAACATGCACACAAAATGCAAATTTGGGTTGTTTCAGTCACAATCCCTTCACACAGGGAAGGAATTTTCTTCAGCTGCCGAATATGGCGGCAACATCGCCACCAATCATCTGCTACGACCCCAAGGTCTGATTCCTGGTCCATCACTGCCAGTTGAGGCTCCATGAGTGTATAATAATAATAATAATAATAATAATAATATTTTTTATTTATACCCCATCCAACTGGCTGGGTTTCCCCAGCCACTCTGGGCGGCTTCCAACAAAACACTAAAATACAATAACCTATTAAACATTAAAAGCTTCCCTAAACAGGGCTGCCCTCAGATGTCTTCTAAAAGTTTGGTACCGTATTTTTCGCTCTATAAGATGCACCAGACCACAAGACGCACCTAGTTTTTGGAGGAGGAAAACAAGAAAAAAAATATTCTGAATCCCAGAAGCCAGAACAGCAAGAGGGATTGCTGCGCAGCCTGCATTTGCTCCATAAGACGCACACACATTTCCCCTTACTTTTTAGGAGGGAAAAAGTGAGTCTTATAGAGCAAAAAATACGATAGTTATTTTTCTCTTTGACATCATGTGGGAGGGTGTTCCACAGGGCGGGTGCCACTACCGAGAAGGCACCCACCCTGTGGAATATGTGAAATTAATCATTTTTGCCAAAAAATGCATTAATTTAGAATTTTGAGTAACGTGGCCTTTTTCATGTGTTCATGGAAGCCAGGTTATTATTGGATGGTTTTTGTTTTATTATGTATTTTGTGTACAGTCGTAGCTTGGAAGTCAAGCAGCTTATTTCCCAAACGTTTTGGCTCCTGAACGTCGCAAACCCAGAAGTGAGTGTTCCGGTTTGCGAACTGTTTTTGGAAGCCGAACGTCCGACGGGGCTTCTGATTGGCTGCAGGGGATTTCTGCAGCCAATCGGAAGCCACGCTTTGGTTTTCAAACGTTTTGGAAATCGAACGGACTTCCAGAACAGATTCCGTTCGACTTCCAAGGTACAACTGTAATCATTTTGTATTTTTATACTGCGAACCACCCTGTAATACTGAAAAGTATTATTATTATTATTATTATTATTATTATCCCGCCCATCTGGCTGTGTTTCCCAAGCTACTCTGAGCAGCTTACAGCCTATCTAAAAACATAATAAAAACATCAAACACTAAAAACCTCCCGATACAGGGCTGCCTCCAGATGTCTTCTAAAACGTTATGTAATTCTTTTATCTCCTTGACATCTGAAAGGAGGGCGTTTCACAGGGATTATTATTATTTTACTGCCCATTCATTCAGTTCGTAGAGGTCCTTTCTTCATCTCTTTAATGATGCTGGACGATTTAGCCTCATGAGCAAACCTCCCTGCTCACCTCTAACTCTAGATTAGTTTATGAACAAGTTAGCGAGAATCCTGGGAGTTGCAGTCCAAGGACACATCTGGGAAGCCCTGGCTGAAGAGCTGCTCTATGCAACATAAACATAGCAGAGTCCCTTCCCTGTGGGGCATACCTGAGATCAAGTGGCAGGGAGTTCCAAAGTCTAGGTGCTGACCTTTAAAGCCCTAAACGGCCTCGGTCCAGTATACCTGAAGGAGCGTCTCCACCTACATCGTTCTGCCCGGACACTGAGGTCCAGCGCCGAGGGTCTTCTGGCGGTTTCCTCCTTGCGAGAAGCCAAGTTACAGGGAACCAGGCAGAGGGCCTTCTCGGTGGTGGCACCCGCCCTGTGGAATGCCCTCCCATCAAATGTCAAGGAAATAAACAACTGTCTGACTTTTGGAAGACATCTGAAGGCAGCCCTGTTTAGGGAAGCTTTTAATGTTTAGTAGGTTATTGTATTTTAGTGTTTTGTTGGAAGCCGCCCAGAGTGGCTGGGGAAACCCAGCCAGATGGGCAGGGTATAAATAATAAATTATTATTATTATTATTATTATTATTATTATTATTATTATTGCTATTATTATTAGGTGCTGCCACACTAAAAGATCTGAGTTCTTACAGATGCAGAAAGCGAGTATTGTGTGGTCCCTGTAGTAGTCTCTCTCCGATGGGCATATCCCATAGAGTCAGTTTCCCTTTGGCTGTACTGAATCTCAGCTAAGATGCCTTACTTGGTCTAGACATTTTCACATTAACGCGCAATGTGGAGACACCTTCCTCAGATGACTAGAGGATGGTGCTGACAACGCCACGGTTGCAGGTTCGAAGCTGCAAGTTCCTGCATTGCAGGGGGTTGGACTAGATGACCGTTGGGTCCCTTCCAACTCTACAATTCTACGAGATAAATATAAGTGGAGAGATAGAGCTGGGCAGCAGCCAGGAAAGGAAGCCTCAATACGGATAACCTAAAAACGGAACAAGCCTCTTGTGATGACATGGGAGAACGGCTGTTGTGGTGCTTTCAACATACTCACAGTTGCAGGTACTTTGACAGAGGGCTCCGTCCTGGCCATTGCCCTTGGTACACAATTCCTCCTCCTGCTTAATCCACGAAATAATATCTGTCCTGGAAATGGGAGATTCTGTTTCCGGGAGATGAGAGAGAGAGAGAGAAGTTTGACCTTTCCTATATATTCCTGGTTTATCTGAAATCTCAAAACGCAGCCTGCTTGTTCCCTCCTGGGCAAAACAAAGGCGGCATTTTTTCATCTCCGCCAAGCTAAGCAGTTGGCTCCTTACCTCTCTCGCCCTGACCTCGCCACTGTGATCCATGTGACAGTCACCTCCAGACTTGATTATTGTAACTCACTCTACGTGGCGCTGCCCTTGAAGCTGACCCAGAAACTCCAGCGGGTGCAGAATGCCGCAGTGAGACTCCTTACGGAGTCCACGCCGTGGGATCACATTCACCCGGTGCTATACCAGCTGCACTGGCTCCCGGTGGAGTACAGGATCAGGTTTAAGGTGCTGGTTTTAATCTTTAAAGCCCTATACGGCCTAGGACCCTCATACCTACGGGACCGCCTCTCCTGGTAAGTCCCAAGGAGGACCTTAAAGGTAAAAGTAAAGGACCCCTGACCATTAGGTCCAGTCGTGGCCGACTCTGGGGTTTCGGCGCTGATCTCGCTTTACTGGCCAAGGGAGCCGGCGTACAGCTTCCGGATCATGTGGCCAGCATGACTAAGCCGATTCTGCCGAACCAGAGCAGCGCACGGAAACATCGTTTACCTTCCCGCCAGAGCGGTACCTATTTATCTACTTGCACTTTGACGTGCTTTCGAACTGCTAGGTTGGCAGGAGCAGGGACCGAGCAATGGGAGCTCACCCTGTCGCGGGGATTCGAACCGCCAACCTTCTGATCAGCAAATCCTAGGCTCTGTAGTTTAACCCACAGCGCCACCTGCGTCCCCGGAGGACCTTGCGGTCTTCAAATAAAAACATTTTGGAGGTCCCAAGCTGCAAAGTGGTTAGATTGGTCTCAACTAGGGCCAGGGCCTTTTCAGTACTGGCCCCGACCTGGTGGAACGCTCTGTCACAAGAGACTAGGGCCCTGTGGGACTTGACATCTTTCCGCAGGGCCTGCAAGACAGAGCTGTTCCACCAGGCCTTTGGCCAAGGCACAGTCTGACTCCCTCTCTCCTGTAATCCTCATAGCACTCTAGCCCAATGGTTGCCATTAATTTGATTTTGAATTGATTTTAAAGTGAATTGATTTTAGAATGCTGTGTTACTTTTATTGTTATTAGCCGCTCTGAGCCCGGCTTCGGCTGGTGAGGGCGAGATATAAATTATTAATAATAATAATAATAATAATAATGATGATGACAAACAGGTTTTTCCAAGCACTCAGGAGAGCTGGCTCCACCATGCATTCAATGCATGGCGTTGGGAATATTGGTCGCCTCAGTTTCTCCCAACAGCAAAACGAAAACGCAGTGCAAACAAGAACCAGGGACACCTCAAAAGCACTTTTTTTGCGCTGGGTAGCCTTAGTTGGCAGGCACACTCGGCGCACTGACTAAAAGTTTAGGGTTGCTTGCGGGAGATTTTGCGAGAGAATCGGGGGAGCGCAAGGTGGAGAGCTTAAAAGTTCTTGCCACGTCGTGTGGATCTGGTGCAAAGAAAGCTTTTAAGTTCTCCTTGCATGCATTTAACCTGCACCACTCCAGCCAGCCTCCTAAACAAAGCGGAAATTCTGCAAGTTAAATGCAGGGAACACTTTTTTTGTGTGACCTTCCTGGGACACAAGGCTGGGTTGTGTGTCTGGAGGTCCTGGGCTGCCCAGACGGCAAGACCCACCCCTTCTCGGCCTCGCTGAGGTGGTCCAAAGGAAAGCAGAGCAAGACGTTGGGCACCTGGTGTGATTGTACTGTATTAAAGACCTGCGCAGGGCGGTTCTTAAAAAGGGACGCGGGTGGCGCTGTGGGTTAAACCACAGAGCCTAGGACTTGCTGATCAGAAGGTCAGCGGTTCGAATCCCCACGACGGGCTGAGCTCCCGTTGCTCAGTCCCTGCTCCTGCCCACCTAGCAGTTCGAAAGCACGTCAAAGTGCAAGTAGATAAATAGGTACCGCTCCGGCGGGAAGGTAAACGGCGTTTCTGTGCGCTGCTCTGGTTTCGCCAGAAGCGGCTTAGTCACCCTGTCTGCGGACAAAACACCGGCTCCCTCGGCCAGCAAAGCATGATGAGCGCCACAACCCCAGAGTCGTGTGCTACTGGACCTAATGGTCAGGGGTCCCTTTACCTTTATCCTTTACATTTGAAGGATGCAGGTGGCGCTGTGGTCTAAACCACAGAGCCTAGGACTTGCCAATCAGAAGGTCGGCAGTTCGAATCCCCATGACGGGGTGAGCTCCTGTTGCTCAGTCCCAGCTCCTGCCAATCTAGCAGTTCGAAAGCACGTCAAAGTGCAAGTAGATGAATAGGTACCACTCTGGCGGGAAGGTAAACGGCGTTTCCATGTGCTGCTCTGGTTCGCCAGAAGCGGCTTAGTCATGCTGGCCACATGACCCAGAAGCTGTACGCCGGCTCCCTCGGCCAATAAAGTGAGATGAGCGCCGCAACCCCAGAGTCGGCCACGACTGGACCTAATGGTCAGGGGTCCCTTTACCTTTTAGGGCGGTTCTTGGGGTGAACGAGAGGTAGGGCTGTAAAATGGGGGTCAGGGTTGCTGGCAGTTCCCAAGATTTGCCCTGCCTTGCTCCCAACGTAATATCTCCTTTAAGTGAAGCATTTCCAGAAACTGGTCACTCCCTTCCATCTACACATGAGCAGCAAGACGTTACTGCTGGAAGATCCCAAAAGGAGAACAGCAATTTCCCCTGGGATGCTTTGGAAAGGACAGAATCACACACACACAAAATACACAGCAAGCAATTCTCAATTTAAAATCTGATACCTGTTTTGGAATCGGACGAAGGTTCCTGAGCACGTTCGTCTGAGTTTTTCTGGCCCAGAATGTGAGGAGCACCTTCTTGCGCAGTACAGGTGAAATTCTCCAGTTTAGAAACAGCAAGATCTGGTCAAAGGAGACGGGGAAGGGAGAACTGTCGTAACTGTCGTTACGAAGATCCCATTAAAGGGCAGTGCTTTATTTTTAAGAGAGGCCATCCTAAATTAAAATTACCAGTTCCATTTACAATGCCTCTCAAAGCAATCTCACAGTATGATGAAGCATATATGCAACCATGGCATAGAGTTAAAGCGGTTAGAAACAATTACATATATAATAATTAATAAATAATATGTATTTATTTATTTTTTATACCCCGTCCTTCCCTGTTCAGAAAACTGGGCTCAGGGCGGCTAACAACAAATTTAAAACACTTAATTGATACAACAAAAAACAGCATAAAATACAGTATAAAACGTACATAACAATAAATTCAGAATTCAAAAATCAATTTAGGGGGGGAAATCCATCCAATAGACATTAGATGATCACCAGGGCTAGCTGGCTAAATTACGGTAGTCCTACTTGGGCCAGCGAGGAGACCAGGGGAGAATTAGCTGTGGGATCCCAGAGCGGGTAATCTTTATAAAAGAGGAGAGGGAGGGAAGGAAGGGGAATAAAAGATCAGGCTAAGTTTAAATTGAAAGCCAGGCGGAATAGCTCTGTCTTACAGGCCCTGCGGAAGGAATAAATGCCAATTCCAATTCCGAAACTAGCTGGGATAGAAGTCTCGGCTGAGGAGGCTTGTAGATAGAGGAGAGAATTCCGACAGGTACCGAAAAGTTAAGAGAGACAGTGCCCGTCTGATACATAACAGCAGGGAGTTCCAAAGGGAACTCTAAACAACTTTAGGAATGCAAGAGGATGGAGTGACATCCCTGGTTCATTCAGGATGGCCTAGCCAGGGTGAACCACCCTAGGATCTTCGGATGAAAGGCAGTATACAAATTTTAATAATAATAATAAACCCCATATTCATGGCAAGAGAACCAGCTATGACCTGCAAGAGTAGCTTAGGGGTATTTTGGCCCACTGATTTATTTCATTTATTTCATATCTTTCCTCCAAGGACCTCAAGGTTTCTCTCGTTCCCCATCTTATCCTCAAAACAGCCCAGCTGAGTGATAGGTTGGGCTGAGAGACAGCGGCTGGCCCAAAGTCGCCCAGTGAGCCTCATGGCAAAGCAGGAAGATTCGAACTCCAGACTCCCATGGTCTAGTCCGATGCTTTAACCACTACACCACACTGTGGCCACCCCGAAAGGGATCCCATGGAGAGCCGGCCCTGCTCCTTACCGAGGGAGATCAGAGACTCTCCGTTCCCCTTGGCCACGTTTTTATACAACTCCTTCTGCCAATCTTCTAGCCTCTCCCGGGAAAAGGGAGCCGAGCCATCGCCAAAAGCCGCTGAGACCTGGGGGATAACAACAAATAACCAAATAATTTAACCCCTGTTGCAATCAATAGTCAATAATATCCAAGGCAACACGATGACCAAATACAATGATACAATATCAATATACACTCTTTATATAATATGAAATATATGAAATCACATAAACAGAAAACTTACGAATCTCTGAAAGTCACAAAATATGCACTCTTAATGGATTCGCTTGAAAACATAAAACCAAATATTTTTTATTTTTTTTAAATAATTTTTATTAAGGTTTCAATCAAAAATTAAACAACAAAAAAAAACATAAAAAATACACAAATACACAATGCAAATCTCAGAAAATTTTTTTAAAAAACACGAAAAGCAAGAATCAACAATAAAAAGAAACATAACAATTAAAAACAATATCTCTTTTCCATTTCCGTTTTTGAATTTACTTATTTTCTGGACTTCCTCATACCTCCCTCTTTTGTATTCCAATCCAAATTGTTTGTCCAGCAATTTCTTTTCCACTTTTTTGGTCCCAATCTTTAATTTTAATATAATATATAACTTCAACTTCTTTACACCTAATCTTTGATCTTAATGTATTATAACCTTGAAATTTTACCTCTTAATTACCAAATTTCCATTTCCTTAAACATCTTTAATCCTAATCTTTAATCTTAGTCTATCATTAACTTTAACCTGTACAGCTGGAAACCACTTATTTTCAGTCCAACATCACTCTAACATTCTTTAATTTTGCAATGTTTCTGAAGATAATCTTTGAATTTGTGTTGAAAACATAAAACCAAATAAACATAAGTCTCTGAAAGTCTTTGAAGACTATGCAAGTCTCTGAAAGAAGCAATATATCAGATTTTTATCTGGTGAAAAGGCTGTAAAGCTTTGTTTATGGCGTTCAACGCTGCCGAGGTAGTTCACAAACAGACGTATTGAACAGTGATTCCGGATATACCCACTGTTTCGTAGAATTCTTCAGCACAGCAGAAGGATACAGAAATGCGTCAAAAACCCATCTATATGGTGAATAGTAAAGGATGAACAACAATTGCTATGGAGCAGGCACTGTGGGTCAAACCAGAGAGCCTAGAACTTGCCGATCAGAAGGTCGGCGGTTCGAATCCCCGCGACGGGGTGAGCTCCCGTTGCTCGGTCCCTGCTTCTGCCAACCTAGCAGTTCGAAAGCACGTCAAAGTGCAAGTAGATCAATAGGTACCACTCCGGCGGGAAGGTAAATGACGTTTCCGTGTGCTGCTCTGGTTCGCCAGAAGCGGCTTAGTCATGCTGGCCACATGACCCGGAAGCTGTACGCCGGCTCCCTTGGCCAATAAAGCGAGATGAGCGCCACAACTCCAGAGTCGTCCGCGACTGAACCTAATGGTCAGGGGTCCCTTTACCTTTACATGTGAAGAGATAGTGCGACTCATGCAACACGTTGGTGATTAATATACACAGAACAATAATTATACATACTTTATCAACCTCCTGAGAAAAACACAAAACATTAAACAAAGCCACAGAGACTTGTTGAACTACCCAGCCTAAAATGAACTTATAATGTCTGGTTTCAATAGATTTTTCAAATGCTTAACTCAGTCTTTTAGATAAGTTCATGACGATACCAACAAAAGGTAAGTTGGGTGTTATTCACAATACCGGGAGATGCTAGTGGAGTGGTAGACAGATGTTAATAAAGTTGTAGACAATGAAGTTGTAGACGACAGGGTGCCGGCGTTTTGCAAGTCTCTGTGGCTTGGACCGTATTAAGAAAATGTCAAGGATATTTGTGCAGGGAAAACTCAGCAGGCAACCGGCAACCCAGTCAGAAGGGCAGGGTAAAAATAATAAAATTACTACACTTTTTCTCTGAGAATGTGGCATAATTTCTAATTTCTACACGTGCGGGAAATACCTCTATATGAGTCTGTATAATTCCTAGGCCTGTGGGATCCCCAGCTTGCTGAGGATGTTAGCACTGGTTCTTCATAGAATCGTACAATTGGAATGGATCCTGAGCGTCATTCAGACCAACCCCCAGCCATGAAGGAATCTCAACTCAAGCATCCGTGACAGATGGCCATTCAGCCTTTTTATTCATTTATATTTTAGTTTCTTAGCACAAGAAGGGCTAACTTGTTTAGAAATAAACATTTGCACCATGCTTTTCTGCCGGACAGCCCCCAGTACCAAAGGGGCAACCCAACAAACAGCGCAATATAGATAGCTAGATAGCAGAATCAAAGAATAATTTTGTTATGTACTGAGTTGAATAGGATCCAAAATGCAGCAGTCTGATTGGTCCTAGGACAATAGGATCCAGAATGCAGCAGTCTGATTGGTCCACAGGAGCCAGCCAATCCAGCTCCAGGTGGAAGTGAATCCGCAACCTGATTGGCCTACAGGAGAATCCCGGAATTAGCCAATCACGTGGGGCCCATTGTGAAAATAATGTATATAAGGCAGACATTCTGGGGGAACTTCCATTCCTCCTCACCACTATGAGCTGAATAAAGAGCATGAAATCCACTCTTGACTCTGAGTATATTTCAAATTTCAAGAAGGATGGTTCAGAAAACATAAGCATTCTTGGGAGCCATGGGTTCGAGTCCTGCTTTGGGCAAAAGATTCCTGCATTGCAGGGGGTCCCTTCCTATGATTCTGTGTGCCATGAGCTCCTTAGAGGAAAGCTGAGGTGTGAATGCAATAAATAAAATCACAGCCTGCTCCTTGACAGAACTACTACTGCAGACTTCCCCAATTCTCTAGGTCTGTGCTTACCTTTTTAAAATACTAATAATAATTTTTATTGAATGGTTTTATGTTACAAAAAACAATACAGCCATACTACCACTAAATATAATTAAGAAATAAAAAATTACATACATTGATATTTAGTTTGTTACTTGTTATTTACCGTCTTATTTCCTCCCAAACATTGCATACAACAACACACATATGTGCAGACACCCACACACCCACACAGAAAATGATAATAATGAAAGTAAATATTTTTCCCCTTTTAGCTTCCAAAATCTTTTCTTCAACTTTGACTTCCTGTCAAGTCCCTTTGCATATGTTTTATCTTACATTCGAATGGACACAAAACAATAAACCTTTCTATATAATTTTTCTAATACATTCTGAAAACATAATAAATCCTTAATTGTAATCTACCTCCTTTTAGTTCCTTTATCACTTGAATGCTAGCACGGAGTCAAAACTATTATTGTATTTTTGAACATATTTTTTATAAACATCCCATTTTTCCGCTAATTTTTGCTTTGAGTTTCCTCTGAGTTTACTAGTCAGTTGCGCCGTCTCCACCAATTCCTGTAATTTGATTTGCCAATCTGTTATTTTTGGAGCCTCGTGATCTTTCCATCCCTGGGCCACAAGTATACGAGCCGCTGCGGTTGCATACAAGAATACCTCTCTTAGATTTTTTGGGATCTCTTTAACTAAAATACTTAATAGAAATGCCTCCAGTTTTTTCGTAAAAGTTATCCCCATCATCTTTTTTAATTCATCGTATATTTCCCCCCCAAAAATCTTAATCTTTTCACACGTCCACCACATGTGAATCATGTCACCATTATTTCCTCCACATCGCCAACAAGCATTCGCCAAATTTTTATACATTCTTGATAATCTGGAAGGAGTGAGGTACCACCTATGAGCCATTTTCATCATGTTCTCTTTTTTTTTTTTTTAATAATATTTATTAAAGTTTCAAAGGAAAAAAAATCACATTAATAAAAAAAATTTAACAATAAAAAGGAAAAATACAAAGTAGGAAAAAAAGAAAAAACAGTTAAAAACAATTCCATCTTTTCCTCACTTCTTTTACGTTTACTTGTTTCCCGGACCTCCTCATACCTCCCTCTTTTGTATTCCAATTCAATTTGTTAATCCAACAATTCCTTTCCCTCCTTTTTAATCCTAATCCTTAGTCTTGATATATTGTAACGTTAGATTTTTACATATTAAAAACCAATTTTTCCATATTCTGTACCTATACAGCTGGAAACCACTTAACTTCAATCCAACATCATTCTAACATTCATTAATTTTACAATATTTCTGTAAATAGTCTTTAAATTTCTTCCAATCTTCTTCCACCGACTCTTCTCCCTGGTCTCGGATTCTGCCAGTCATTTCTGCCAATTCCATATAGTCCATTAATTTCATCTGCCATTCCTCCAGCATGGGAAGTTCTTGTGTCTTCCAATACCTTGCAATGAGTATTCTTGCTGCTGTTGTTGCAGACATAAAAAAAGTTCTGTCCTTTTTTAACACCGATTGGCCGACTATGCCCAGGAGAAAGGCCTCTGGTTTCTTCAAGAAGGTATATTTAAATACCTTTTTTAGTTCATTATATATCATCTCCCAGAAAGCCTTAATCTTTGGGCACGTCATCATGTTCTCTCTTATATTATAGCTGGCTGTAAATTTCAAATTTACCTTCCATAAGTTTTCCCAATCTTTTAGCATAATTGGACGGCCCGAGAAACACCATAACCAGACACTGGAGAGACCTGTCAGGAGTAAACATGGACCAATGGTACCAAATAGTATGGGAAACAGCCCTACTAGAAAAATTAACTAATAAACTGAAACTGACACGGGGACAAACAGAAGACGACGCCTTCACCCCGGTATGGCTCCCCTTTATCACATACACAGCCCAACAGGACAATGACAATAATCCACCAACAGCATACAAATCAATATGGCTAACCTGATCCAAAACACCCACCCACCTCACTCACACACGAAAACAAAGATCCCAAGCAAACAATCACACCCTAGACCAACCCCAACCTCTCTCACCACCAAAGGAACACAAGTGAACAACACAAGCAACGCCGACACCAAACTCTACATACATTAAACATAATAGAAACACCGCCACCCGACCCCACCCCCATCCATCTTCCCTCTCTCCACCCCCCTTTCTTTTTTCCTTTTTTTCTTCTCCCCCTAATGCCTCGACAAATGAAACGGATTTGTAAAAATGTTACATGGGGGGGAAAAAATACGAGGCATTACACTTACTTCTGTAAAACAAGAAAATCCTTAATAAAATATTCAACATCAAAAATAATAATAATACAGTGGTGCCCCGCAAGACGAATGCCTCGAAAGACGGAAAACCCGCTAGACGAAAGGGTTTTCCGTTTTTGAGTTGCTTCGCAGGACGAATTTCCCTATGGGCTTGCTTCGCAAGACGAAAATGTCTTGCGAGTCTTGAGATTTTTTTTCGCTTCCCCCCCCCTTTATCTAAGCCGCTAAGCCGCTAATAGCCTTTTAGCAGCTAATCCGCTAAGCCGATAAGCCTTTAATAGCCGCTAAACCGCTAATAGCGCTAAGCCGATAAACCGCTAATAGGGTTGCTTCGCAAGACGAAAAAACCGCTAGACGAAGACACTCGCGGAACGGATTAATTTCGTCTTGCGAGGCACCACTGTAATAATAATAATAATTATTATTATTATTATTATTATTATCATTGGACATCTTGTGCCCACTTTATCAATGAAGCCTGAGGTCTGTGCTTACCTTAGAAGCTCCTGCAGCCGCGCTCACGGGGACCTTCAGAAACCAGAAGTTCCCGTTCTTCAGCAGGTCCTCCATGGTCTCCAGCCTCTTCTGCAGCTGCCCATACTCCTGCAGGAGAGTCTCCAGCGCTGACCACCGGCTGTCCAGCTGGCTGCCCAGTTCGGCCACGGCCTTCTCGCAGTCCCCAAATCTCTTCTCGGCTGCCTCGGACCTCTGCTCCAGGCTGAGGAGCCGAAGGGCCTGAGCCTCCACCGTCCGCTCCACCGCCTGGACAGCGCCAACCACCGTCCACAGAGAAATCGTGGCCGTCTGCGCCTCTTTGGGGAAGGCGGCATCCACCACAGGAGCAGCCAGGACTTCTGAACTCCACCTTGAAGACTGGAAGGAAATAAAAAAAATTGCCCCATAGTACCTTAGAGACCAGGGACGCGGGTGGCGCTGTGGGTTAAACCACAGAGCCTAGGGCTTGCCGATCAGAAGGTCGGCGGTTCAAATCCCCGCGACGGGGTGAGCTCCCGTTGCTCGGTCCCTGCTCCTGCCAACCTAGCAGTTCGAAAGCACCTCAAAGTGCAAGTAGATAGATAGGTACTGCTCCGGCGGGAAGGTAAACGGTGTTTCCGTGCGCTGCTCTGGTTCGCCAGAAGCGGCTTAGTCAGGCTGGCCACATGACCCGGAAGCTGTACACCGTCTCCCTTGGCCAGTAAAGCAAGATGAGCGCTGCAACCCCAGAGTCGGCCACGACTGGACCTAATGGTCAGGGGTCCCTTTACCTTTAAGCTATGTGCAAAATTAGTAACAACAATGCAAAATATCCGGGAAGCATTTAGGCTTGCAAAGGCGTCTGCAAACCGAGCAGTCTTAGCCAGGTGCCTGGGACGCCTGAAACGTCGCTGCCTTTTTCTGTAGCCCCCCACCGTGCACGTTGGTAGTGCAATATTTTGAATCATTCCACCCCCACCCCCCCAACCCTTCTCCCAGGGGCGGCTCAGCTACCCCCAGCAAGAGCGCACCATCCCATCCCTGCAGAACCAGCCTCACCTGGGCAGGAAGGGGCCATTCAGCCATGGTGCTGAGCCTTTGCTGGGCGCTGGATGGGGAAAGGGGTGTGCGCGTCTCCTTGCAGAGGAGCAAGCGGTGCACAGGATGTGATGGATGGATGCAAAGGAACCGGGAAGCTTGTGGAGGTTTGCTGGGAGGCAGGAAGGCGAGAGAGAAAAAGAGAGAGAGGCGAGGCTGCGGGAAAGCAGCGGAAGAAGCGACAGCTCCATCTATGGAGCGTCGCCTGAGCAGGGAGCGAGGAGGCTGCGCTGCTTTCCCACGTGCAAATCAATAAAAGCTGAGCCCTTTGTGCGCGCATGGCGCGGATATCTAAACAGCTGGCTGCAAAATCTGTTGTTTAGTCGTGTCCGCCTCTTCGTGGCCCCCTGGACCAGAGCACGCCAGGCACTCCTGTCTTCCACTGCCTCCCGCAGTTTGGTCAAACTCATGCTGGTAGCTTCGAGAACACTGTCCCACCATCTCATCCTCTGTCGTCCCCTTCTCCTTGGGCCCTCCATCTTTCCCAACATCAGGGTCTTTTCCAGGGAGTCTTCTCTTCTCATGAGGTGGCCAAAGTATTGGAGCCTCAGCTTCAGGATCTGTCCTTCCAGTGAGCACTCAGGGCTGATTTCCTTCAGAATGGAGATGTTTGATCTTCTTGCAGTCCATGGGACTCTCCAGAGTCTCCTCCAGCACCAGAATTCAAAAGCATCCATTCTTTATGGTCCAGCTCTCACTTACATACATCACTACAGTGGTACCTCATGTTACAGACACTTCAGGTTACAGACTCCGCTAACGCAGAAATAGTGCTTCAGTTTAAGAACTTTGCTTCAGGATGAGAACAGAAATCGTGCTCCGGTGGCATGGCAGCAGCAGGAGTCCCTATTAGCTAAAGTGGTGCTTCAGGCTGAGAACAGTTTCAGGTTAAGAACGGACCTCCAGAGCAAATTAAGTACTTAACCCGAGGTGCCACTGTACTGGGAAAACCATAGCTTTAACTATACGGACCTTTGTTGGCAAGGTGATGTCTCTGCTTTTTAAGATGCTGTCTAGGTTTGTCATTGCTTTTCTCCCAAGAAGCAGGCGTCTTTTAATTTCGTGGCTGCTGTCACCATCTGCAGTGATCATGGAGCACAAGAAAGTAAAATCACTGTTTCCATTTCTTCCCCTTCTATTTGCCAGAAAGTGATGGGACCAGTGGCCATGATCTTCGTTTATTTGTTGTTGAGTTTCTGACCATATTTTGCGCTCTCCATTTTCACCCTCATTAAAAGGTTTCTGCCTCACTTTCTGCCATCAAGGTTGTGTCATCTGCATATCTGAGGTTGTTGATATTTCTTCCGGCAATGCTGCAAAATCTACCCCCCCCCCCAATCCAGCTGCAAAGTATTGACCCGCTTGCATTTAAAACAAGAACAACAATCAGGATGTTGCACTGCACGGACACGCATCCGTGTGCAGGACGCACTTCACACTGCAAGCATCTGGAGGGCACCCGGTTGGCCAACGCTGCAGTGCAGTTGCTGCAACGCCGCCCAGCTTTTGCAACCCGAGGGCGCAGTGAGCATGTTCTGCCTGCAGGTGTCGCTGCAGGACTGAAGATCTCAGAAGGGGAGGAAGAGACACTCCCCCTCCCAGCGGAAATGGCAACGAACAATCAGGAGGGTACTACCTCCAACAGCATCAAGCGCCCCCTAGAGCCCTGGTGCGCTAACGCGGACCCTTAAAAGCTGGGTTCAAGTTTCCTTTTCTGCAAATGTAGAGCAGGGGGTCTGTGTGTCTTGGAAATCATAGAATTGTAGAGTTGGAAGGGACCACAAGTCCTGAAATGCAGAAATCTTTTGCCCAACGCCAACCCATAACCCTGAGATTAAGAGTCTCATGCTCCACAGCATGATAAACAACTACAAGACATGATAATAATAATAATAATAATAATAATAATAATAATAATTATTATTATTATTATTATTATTATTTATTATTTATACTCCATCCATCTGGCTGGGCTTCCCCAGCCACTCTGGGCAGCTTCCAACAAAATATTAAAATACAGTAATGCATCAAACATTAAAAGCTTCCCTAAACAGGGCTGCCTGTTCCGCCTGGCCTTTGGTTTGGACTCAGTCTGGACCCTTATGTTTTCCCCTCCCCTTATGGTTTTGATCTATGGGCTACTTTTAAAATGAGGCTGCATTTTAAATTGCATTTTAACCTGTATTTTAAATTGGTCCCCCTCCCATTATGTTTTTATTGCAATTTTACTGGTGTTAGCCACCCTAAGCCCAGCTCTGGCCGGGGAGCGTGGGTTTTCAGGTTAAGAATGGACCTCCAGAACAAGTTCTTAACCCAAGGTACCACTGTATTTTTAATCTTTCTTGGAAGCTGGCCAGAGTGGCTGGGGAAACCCAGCCAGATGGGCGGGGTACAAATAATAAATATTATTATTATTATTATTATTATTATTATTATTACAGACTGAGCAATCCCAGACAAGTCATGCCAGATGAATCTCATCCCCCCCCCCTTTTTTTCATGGAGTTACAAGCTTGGTGGATCAGGGGGATGCTGTGTAGCGTATCTTGATTTCAGGAAGGCCTTTGACAAAGTCCCCCATGATATTCTTGTAGCGAAGGTGGCATGAACATAGCCAGGATTTTTGTTAAGGTGGGGGGCAGCCAAAGTTGTTGAGCTTTCCTTGGGAAATTCCGGGTAAGAATAATACCCCAAAGACAGGACATTAGCCCCCCCAGCTACACCCATGGAAGGTAGTAAAATGTGGGCTGGATGATGAGGTTAGGTGGATTTGTAGCCAGTTGGCTGACCGAGCCCAAAATCTATTCATTTATGGTTCCTCGTCATCCTGGGGGAAAGTGACAAGTCGGGTGCCGTAGGGTTCTATCCTGGGCCCAGTGTCTTTGTAAATGACTTGGACGAAGGAATTGAGGGGATGCTCATGTTAACGGAGAAATCTGAGGGCTCCCTTGGACAAAAAACAAGGACACCAGCCAGGAATACCAGAGCAAAACAGCAGCCAGTAGGCTTGGTCTTGATTGAAGACTGTCGCGACAGGACTCCCACCTGCCACAAGGTGGAACAAGATGGAAGCCCCCAAACTTTTATTAGCTGCTAATCCCCATGTTACACCCCCCCCCAAACTACATCACTCATACATCACGGTTACATCATGAAAGGGGAGGTCTGGTGGCAGTAATCTGAGCATCCTGGACCCTGCCCCATGGTTCTCCTTGCCCTCCACCAAACACCCATCAAGTGTAACAAAAAAGATCTTTACGTTTCCCTGTTTCCCAGCCAAGTTAATCACGCCTGTCAAAGCTGCCTCAAGTCTCAGCTCACAAAAGACCAACGCCTATGTCTTCTTATATACAAAGGTGTTTATTGCAGTTCATGGTTTGCTTGACATCCTAGGCGCGCAGCCTTACGTCTCTTACGCTTAGACCGCTGAAGTCCCCTCTGAATCCGTCCCTCCCCTGCACCAATTTAAGAGACTTGCGCTGCTCCACCTCTTTCTCTCCTTCCTTTTCCGCAGGGTCCTTCTGCCCGCTGGGGTTTCGCCCCTCCTGGATTCCTCTGACGCTGAATCCCCAGACTGCTCTTCCCCCTCCTGCGGGCTTTGGGACCTGGCCCCTCCTCCGGGCTCCCTGTACTTCCGCGCGCCTCTACATGTGAACTAGGCGCGCGCGCCAACCTCTAACTTTCCTTTTGACAGTTACACTACTCCCTTCACTGCTCCCCTCCCCTTCCGGAAGGGCGGCTTGCTCTGACCTCCCTCCTTTCTCTGCTCCCGGAGCTGCTTCCTCTGACACACTGGAAACTCCACCCCCTTCGCTGCACTCTGGTGGGGAGGCTGGTCCTGACGCCCAGCTGCCACTTTGGGATCCTCCGCTGGCCCCCTGCTCCTGACATGTCCCCCCTGGGGCTCCCCTGGCCTTAACCACCGGCGCCCCCTTCTGGGAATCCTCTGATTCGCTGGAAAGACTCATGGAATCTCTTGAGTCATTGTCATCCTCTTCCTCGCTGCCTTGGAATTCCTCCCCATCGCTCTCCATCTCCTGCCTACCCTGTGCCTCTCTCCCTGAACCCCTGACAACGCCCTTTTGTCTTCTTCTGGGTTTGTTATTTCTGGAATGGCTACCTGTCTGGCACTCAGGTATCAGGAGGCCAGGGATTATCACTCAGGCAGAGGGGCTGCTGAGGAGCTGAGCTCACCTGTCTATATGAATTTCTGAAGTTTTCCCAGTGAGCCACCACATAGATACATTTATCAGTGAATTCTTACATTTGGTATCGTGCAGCAAAGGCCCTTTGAATAGATAGGAAGAAACTGTGATGAAGTGTTTTGTGGGGACAAGTCACAAAAGTCATGAAAGTGATTGTGCTGATTTTGGTAGTGGGCTGCATGCGCATGATATCTGCTGGAGGGGCAACCCCCACAACCTATACATAAATTTCTGCAACACTCATGAAATTTGCAAACTGGGAGAGTAGCTAATGCCGCAGAAGACAGAATCGGAATTCAGAATGACATTAACAGATTGGAGAACTGGGCCCAAACTGATAAATAGGGACAAATGTAAGGTTCTGCACTTAGGCAGGAAGAACAAGCTGTCACATTGAAGAGGGAACACGACTGTTTTCTGCTGCACCCATACCAATGGATTCTAATTGCAGGAAAGGTGGTTGCAACTAAACATCAGGAAAAACTTTCTGGTGGCCAGAGCAGTTTGACACTGGAGCAGAATCCCTTGCAAAGTTGTGGTCTCTCCTTCCTTTGGAGGTTTTTAAAACAGGGGTTCTTTAACGGCAATTCCTGCATTGTAGGAAGTTGGACTAGATCCACTGGGTTCCCTTTCAATTTGACAGTTCTATGAGCCTATAAACAGCAGCTGCATCTAGAGATTTGTCATTGGGTGCCATCTAATTTTGGAATTTTAGCAGGGTCAGGCCTGGATGGGAGACCACCTGGAAATGTTGTGTATGGTGGGATTCTTGCTTTTGCTCCCATAAATTGTCACTTCGACTTTTCCATCTCAGAGCTCAGGAACCATCTCTTTTTTTCCCTAAAATCGAAAGACTCTTCTAACATCTTAAAAGGGAGATTTGATGCAGATTTTTCCCATGCATGAATTTCCCATTCGGGTCGTGGCTGTAAAAAGGTAAAAGGACCCCTGACCGTTAGATCCAGTCGTGACTGACTCTGGGGTTGCGGCACTCATCTCGCTTTACTGGCCGAGGGAGCCGGCGTACAGCTTCCGGGTCATGTGGCCAGCAGGACTAAGCCGCTTCTGGCGAACCAGAGCAGCGCATGGAAACGCCGTTTACCTTCCCGCCGGAGTGGTACCTATTGATCTACTTGCACTTTGACGTGCTTTCGAACTGCTAGGTTGGCAGGAGCAGTAGTGGCTGTAACTGGTTGCAATTTCAGGGGGGATTGTGAGACGGAAAGGAGAGCATTTCCCAGCCACCTTTGCATCAAATGTGCCATTCAAGGCCTTAAATTAAAGTGTCTCTGCTGCTAGCTTAGGCTTTTAAAATATGAGGAAAACTCTTCAATCTGAATCAAACCAAAGCCTTCCTAGTGACAGACATGTCAGAGCTGTCTAGAGGGCGGTGTTTCAAAACAGCTCCCTGCATAAAGAAGCTTTAATCCCTAAACGTGAGATTTACTGTGCGAGGAGATAGGAGCATTGAGCGTGGACACTGGACAGAGCAGGAGACGGTGCAGTTAAACTACACGGTAACTGTCTGTTAAAATGTTCTTAACTTATTGTAACTGCAAAAGGAAACAATAAAGGTGATTTTTAGACTGGGAGGGAAAAGGAGGGGATTCCTCGGTCTGAGTTGCAAAAGGGGAAATTGCAAAAATGCCTACCGCACCCAGTATTCCCAGGCGGTCTCCCATCCAAGTACTAACCAGGCCCGACCCTGCTTAACTTCCGAGATCGGACGGGATCGGGTGCATTCAGGGTGGTGTGGCTGTAGGCAGCAGAAGGGCTTTCAATGGCCCTTTTCTGGTCCTGACTCCGCCTTTGCAAGAGTTTGCATCCCGCCCAGCTCTTCTTTCCTGCTCCTGCTGCCTCCCGGAGCTGCCTGCCCGGGGAGAAATGGATCTCCTTTCCTTTCTCTCCCTCTCTCCTGCCAAATCTTGCAGGCAGGAAAATGCTGGGACTTGCAACGGGGCTTTGCAGTTGCAGAACGCCTTTCCTCCGGAATTGCAACCGTGCAAGAGCTGCAAAAAACCGCTCACCGTGCATTATTTTATTTTATTTTGCACTCTGCTCTGCTAAATCCCAGAACTTGCCCTGGCTTGCAGTAGAGGTCAGAGCGGCGGAACGAGCCTGTGCTCTTCTGGCTCCTGCCGGCAGGTGGCGCTGCCCAGCCATCCCTTAGAAAAGAACGGCGCGCGGGCGAGACGGCAACCAGATAAATAAGCGGCGGTGGGCGCAACCTGCGCGCATGCGCACCCCTCCCGGAGCAGCTCTGCGGCTCTCCTCCCGGGGCGGGGCGAAGAAGGTGCGCGGGCGGGCGCAATCGCCTTGCTGCCCGCAGGGAGTTGTGCTCCTTTGGTGCCGTTCTGACCTCCCGCCGGCAGGTGACGCTGTACGGAGCGCGCGCTCTCTTGACAAAAAAAAGGGGGACACCGGATGTGACGTCAGATCAGCAGAGAACTTCCGCCTCCTTCTTCGGAAAGGAAGGGGAGGGTTCCCAAAAACAACATGGTTGCTTTGCAAATCTTGGAGCCTGGGAGGTTTAGGCTGGGTGGGCAGGTCCTCAGGTGTATTTGTTTGCTAGGTTTCATTAAAATAATAAAGATTGCATTTAATCATGTATTTAAAATTAATTTATTCAATTAATTAATTAATTATTCAAAATAACTTATTCGAAAGGTAAATATTGCAATTATTAGAGTGACCCCCGGGTATAGGGTGGTATATAAATTCAATAAATAAAATAAAATAAAAATAATATTGCAACTGATAAAATGAAACATCAACATGGTTTGCAACTGTTCCAGCACATACTGAAATAGGAGTTAAGTTTAGGCTCCCTGCAAGGGGTTGAGCTTCTTAAAGAAGGCTGGACCTTCGGAAAGAGGCTCAAACCGGTCAGGAAATAAACACAGACCAGACCAGGGATTTTCAGAAAGCAAAGCGGCTGGAAGCCCGATCCCTTATTAAAATTATATGCAGAACTGTTGGCAACAGGGTTCCCACTCGCGTAGCAGGCGACCGAGAGAGAACCCCAAACAAAAGAGAATTTAAACTTATATACCTTTTAATTTCCATACAGAACAATGGTAACAGAAGACGTCAAACAAGGCGTGGTGAGAGGATTAGAACAGGTGAGTGGGATGTCGGAAGGGGTTGAATTGTTTTAATGGTGGTGTCGTTACTTGCGATTGTTGGACATAAAAGGTTTTGGGCTGGTTCCTTTTCCTGTTTCCAGAGGTGTTGGCTAATGGGTTTGTTTTTCCTTTATGTACAGGAAAACTTCGGAGCTGCTAGGGGCTGTCCGATAAGGAGACAGGATTTTGGGAGTCGCTTATCCTTGCGGGTGTGTTGCCTTATTCTGCATTTTTCCTTTATTTAAATAAAACTGTCTGAGGTTGTGTGTGTGTGTCCATCTGCAGACTCATTAGGTGGCGCTGGGAAGCAGTTTGACAGTTGTCGGCAGTACAAAGTCAATTCTACAGTTTAGATACATAGTAATACAAAGTTTAGATACATATACAAAAGCATAAAACGAATAAGAAAATAGGAAGGAAATTGATACAAAGATTGAACTCCAGTTAGCAACATGTGCAAGGTACGTTTCATTAGAAGGGCAACGGTTTAAAGGAAAGGAAATAGGCATAACAAGCAGGGTTCATAAATTTATTTTGGAATCCCCTCTCTGGTCATGGATTCACACATACAAACACTCCAAACCCCACACAAGCTTTCAAACAAATTATTATAATTTGTGTATTCTAATTATGTATTATAATTTGTCGATTTTCCTTGCCCAGGTACTCAAAGTGTTCTGCCAAGCCGTAGGACAGAGCTTCCCAAACTCTCTTGCGACATATTATTGTGTTGGCTGCAGTGTGTTGTGTGAACGCTCCCCACATTCCTCCCGGGGCTGGAAAGGGGTTAGTTTAACCTCTGGTTTGCTAGTAAAACTGAACCACTGTGTCGCGAAATGATGCAAGTCTGAAAAGTGTGTCACCAACATGGAAAGTTTGGAAAGCTCTGCTGTGGGATGTTGCCATGTGTACTGATTTATTTATTTCAATGAGATTTGTAAGCGAGAAAGAGCCTGAAGTTTGCTCAGGGGAACGAAAAAGAGAGAGAGATCTGCAGAGTTTGGGGAGCAGAATATTAATACGGAAGAACCGAAAAATAAATCCACATATAAATACTTGAAAACCAACGATGCACGGATCCTCCAGGCACTGATCAAGGATGCAAGCTGGTTGAAATTCGCCTTTGGCAGCCCGTTGACAAAAGCTGTGTGGATAGTCATGGACTGAAGCTGGTGCGCTTGTCTGTCCTTCTGTCTGCGTGTCTCTCATCCTGCCTTTCCGTGTGACTCGGGGTGTGAAAAGGGGTGTGTGTGTGTGTTTCAAATGTGGCCGGGTGCATTCAGGTGGGATGGGGTGGAGGTCACCCAGGAAATAGTACTTTTGTCCTGGAGTAAATTTACGGACTATTTGAAAAGTATTTGTGAAGATCAGATGACGTTTGTAGGTTTGCAAGAAGTTTTGTAAGGAGTATTATTGGAAGTATTGCAAAAATGGAAAAGGGGAAGGATGATTTGTTAAGAGATGTAAAGGCAATATAAAGTTAAGAAGTGGTTAAAACGGTGAATCAGCAGAGGTGCTGATGGAAGTCTAAAAAGATTGTATAAGTGATAAGTTTTGTGGTACATTTTATAATTTATATGTTCAAATAAAAAAAAATTATTTATATATATATATATATGAAATAGTACTTCTGTCTTGCCAGGATTAGACCTCAAACTGTTGACCATCATCCAGCCTGCAGCCGCCTCCGGACACTCACACAGGATGTTCACCGCCTTCACTGGTTCTGATTTTAAAAAGAGGTAGAGTTTCGCTAGAGGCCCAGCCCCACCAGGGACCTCCTGCCTCAAACTCTGCCAGCCGGTCATTATAGGAACAACTGTTTAGAAACAGGCGCCTGAGTTTTGATTCTGACTTTCCTCTTCCCTCCTTGGCCTGTTTTCCTTGTGTGTTGTGTGGCTTCTTTAAAAAATTGCAAGCCTGTGGGTAGGGAGTGTCTTGTTTTGATTGTATCTAAACCACTCTGGGTTTAAACCAGATGATGTCACGTGTTAACTTAAAAAAAAATAGTGTAAAATAAAATTACAGGTGAAAAAAATCAAAAATCTAAGCTAACCTAGGAGCATAATTTGCCCATTGGAACAAGTGGGACAATCAAATAGCAATTGTCTGATTTAAGGAACTTATTTCACGGCTTCTGGTTGCAAGAAGAACTTCTTTGGCCCATTTGAACGCTGATTGCTGCAGAGAAAATAACTCACAAATTTTGCATTTCTAAGGGTAAGGAAAACCCAAAACACTTCTACACGCTTTGATGGGATTCTATTTCTTACGTGTCAAATTGAGATGTATAAAAACCCCTCTTCCCCCACCAAAACATTAAATTTGGCCATTGTTCCAGGAAAAACTTTATGGCAGTGATTGACAAGGAAACGGACCCACTCAGAAGATGGTGGAATTTCGCTGGAAGTTTTTTGACAGAGGTTGGATCGCCAGGGATTCTTCAGCTATGATTCCTGCATTGCTAGGGGTCAGGCTAGATGACTTTGGGGGTCCCTCTTCCATTCTATGAGCCCACAATTTGTTTTGCTGCTTTTTCTACATCATCTGCCCTCTGTTTGGAAAACACAACTTTTGACTTTATGAAGCCTTCTTTTTCCCTGACCCCTGCAAAGCACATTCAGATGCTTTAGATAGCAATGGTTGGGGTTTTTTGTACATTGAGTATCTATCTTCAGTCTTTCTCTCAGGGTTGGAAAATCTGGCCAAAGTCAATGCACTTTTAAGCACTGTGGGAGAAAAGTAAAGACCTGGGTTGGGGAGGGCTTGATTTGGGGTGTTAAGTTCTGAAAATTAGCCTTTGCTGGCGAACAAGGGAGATACTGTACATCACCTGATATCCAGGCATCAGAATCTGGCTTGATCGCTTGAAGCCAAATGTGTCTCCACTAGAAAGTGTGGCTCCCAGATGTTTTGCTCTACAACTCCCATCAGCTGGCTGGGTGCTGATAGGAATCGTAATCCCAGTCGCCTGTCTGGCTGGGGGAGTCGATGAGAGTTTTATTCCCAAAAACCTTGGAGGGCACCAAGTTGGGGAACACTGGGTTAGCCAGCTGCGTCAGGACAGCGTGGGTTTATTTATTTATTAAGTAATAAACCTCCAAAGAAACCCATCAGTGATTTAAAAAATATCCTTAAAATAAGAGAAAGGGGTGGGACGGGACATAGTTAAGCATCTTTTAAAATATCATTTTAAAATAATCAAATAGGTCAATGTTTCCAGGAAAGTGTTTTCCAAACTTGGGTCTCCAGATGTAGTTGGACTACAACTCCCATCATCCCTACCTAGTAGGACCAGTGGTCAGGGATGATGGGAATTGTAGTCCAATAACCGCTGGAGACCCAAGTAGTTGCAATCCCTTTCCCCCTCCATTCCTGGAAGCTTGGAGCAACCCGCGCACGATGTACAAACGCCAAGCGAGAGACACGTGTCTGTGGGAGCGTCTGCCCCCCTAGCCACGCTGGCTGCGCGCTTCCAATCCACGAGGGGGAGGAGGGGAAAAAAAAACTAAAACCCCAACCCGGTGCACGTGTGAACCGCGATGATTTGCAAAGGCGGCGTCTTTCCCGCGCGGCGCGGGGTGAGCGTAACGTGTGAACGAGGCGTGACGCGTGTCCCTCCTCCGAGGCGGCTTTCTCCCTTTTTTTGCAAATCCCGAGCCGTTTTACGTAGGAAGGATAAATCGTGGGGCGGTGCGGGAGAGAAAAAAGCGGGCGATCGGCGGCTCCGCCTCGGCCCTGCAGGGGGCGCGCTTCCCGGCCAGGCCCCCGTTGCGAGTGTTGCTTTTTTCCTCGCCCCCCCCCCCGAACCAAATCGCTACAATTGCGCCTTGTATGTTTCCCTCGGATGTGAGCAGCCCAGCCGCGCGCCCGCCTCCTCCTCCGATCCTCCGATCCTCGGGCTGCCCCCCTCCCGGGACCCCCCCAGCCCGGCCCGGCCCGGCCCTGGAGCCCCGATCCGGCCCTTCTCCCGCCCAGAGCCCCCCCAGCAGCCCAGGGCCATGGCCGAATGGGCCCCTGCCCAGGTGAGCCGGGAGAGGGGGGGGCGGCGAAGATGGAGGGGAGGGGGGGCATGATCCGGATCGAGAAGTTGATTCGGAGTCCGGAGATGGCTAGGACCCCCCCGCTGTGGATGCATGGGGGGGGGCGTTAGGCCTCTTTGCTGCCTGGAGTGGGGGGGTCGGTGGGGTGGGATGGGAAAGAGAGCCTCCCACCCCCAGTAGACCCCAGTAGTTTTGCTGGGAGTGTTAATGGGGGGGGGGAATGTCCTGGGGGAGGAGATCCATTAGGAGATCTCTTGTGGGGGGGGGGAGAGGAGAGGATCTCTTTGATTTTCCTTGGGAGAGGAGGATGCGGGGGGGGAAGGAAAGAGGGGCTGATCCGGATTGGGGGAAGGGGTTCCCAGAGGGGGGGGGCAGGGCTGGTATGAATGGGGCTGGAAGGAGGTGTGTTTGTGGGGGGGGGGATAATGTGAGGGAAAAGGTCCCATTGCAAAACCTGGAGGTGTGGGGCAGCCCTCCCTTCCCAGGGGATCCAACTTGAATAACAATATGGGGGGGCAGGTAAGCTCTGCCCCACATAATCGATCACCCCCCCCCATTTGAACGGCCAGGCCAATTCAACTTTGCAAGGGGGGGGCCTGGACCCTTCAAATATCTTACTGGACCTAGGAGTTGGGTCCTGTTCTGCCTCCCCATCCATTCCTCTGTTTCATTTTTCCTGGAGGGGTCTTGCTGCTTCAGGATCCCCCCTTGGCTTCTCGGGGGGGGGGTTGGGGGGGCACAGATATCTGGGGAGGAGGAGAGTCCTCCCATTTTGATGGGCGTCCACACCCCCCCAGAGGCTCGCCCATTCTCTCGGATGCAGCCATGCTGTTTTTGCACAAGCCTATGTCTGCAACTTTGGGGGACCTCTGAGAAGATGCTCAGTTTGCTTTTGAGAAAAGGGGGGGTAGGGAGTGATCTCTCCCCCCCCACCAGTAATGAGATTATTTTTTCTCCCTTGGAGCCTCCCAATAATGAACAGCTAACCCCTTCCTTGCAGTGACACAGCACTCGGGTTGCACAGTTATTTATTATTATTGCTATTAATTTGTTTCGTTCATATCCAAGGAGTTTGAGGTGGTTCTCCCCCAGTCTTCGTTTACCCCCCCCCCCCACAACAACCCTGTGAGGTAGGTTTTGGCTGAGAGGCAGTGACTGCCCCAAGGTCGCTTCACGACCCAGCGGAGACTTGAACCCAAGTTGTACTCTGCTGCTCTAACCACTACACCTCACTGCCGCTCAGCTCTCTCTAGCAGCTTGGGTAAACTTGGTAGGAACGGCTTGATTCCCCTCCAGCATTCACACCTGGCAAGGGACCCCGACCTCTTGCCTTTGACTACAACTCCCATCATCCAAAGCTAGCAGAACCAGCGGTCAGGGATGATGGGAACTGTAGTCTCAAAAAATTGTAGTCCTCCGTGATTTAAAAAATGCCTTTAAAATAAGAGAAAGGGGTGTTGGGAACACAGTTAAGCATTCTTTAAAATATCATTTTTAAATAATCAGTCGCCAGGAAAGTGTTGCCCCAAATTGGGTCTCCAGCTGTAGTTGGACTACAACTCCCATCGTCCCTAGCTAGCAGGACTAGTGGTCAGGGATGATGGACGTTGTAGTCCTACAACAGCTGGAGACCCAAGTTTGGGAAACTGACTTAGAGCAAGAGCACTCTCCAGAGTGCTAATTTGAGTGTTGCATACAAACACACACACACACACAAAAATGCCTTTGGATTTAGCAAATCCCCAAGCGCTTCTACTCTAACATTAACCCACAAACAGCCCCCTAGGTGGACTTTTGTGTCACATCCGCACCAGGAATTTAATGCACATTAATAATAATAATAGTAGTAGTAGTAGTAGTACCGTATTTTTTGCTCTATAAGACTCACTTTTTCCCTCCTAAAAAGTAAGGGGAAATGTGTGTGCATCTTATGGAGCGAATGCAGGCTGCGCAGCTATCCCAGAAGCCAGAACAGCAAGAGGGATCTCTGCTTTCACTGCGCAACAATCCTTCTTGCTGTTCTGGCTTCTGAGATTCAGAATAATTTTTCTTGTTTTCCTCCTCCAAAAACTAGGTGCGTCTTGTGGTCTGGTGCGTCTTATAGAGCGAAAAATATGGTAATTTATTTGTACCCCAGTCATCTTGCTGGGTTTCCCCAGCCACTCTGGGAGGCTCCTGACAGAATAATAGAAACACGATAAAACATCAGACATTAAAAACTTCCCTAAACAGGGCTGCCTTCAGATGTCCTCTAAAAGTCAGATACAGTAGTGGTTTATTTCATTGGCATCTGGTGGAAGGGCGTTCCACAGGGCGGGGGCCACCACCGAGAAGGCCCTCTGCCTGGTTCCCTGTAACTTGGCTTCTCGCAGTGAGGGAACCGCCAGAAGGCCCTCGGAGCTGGACCTCAGGGTCCGGGCAGAACGATGGGGGTGGAGATGCTCCTTCAGATATACTGGACTGAGGCCGTTTAGAGCTTTAAAGTTCAGCACCAACACTTTGAATTGTGCTTGGAAACGTACTGGGAGCCAATGCAGATCTCTCAGGACCGGTGTTATGTGGTCTCGGCAGCCGCTCCCAGTCACCAGTCTAGCTGCCGCCTTTGAAACATTTGTTTTCCCCCTGTGTTATCCTGGGAACTGCAGTTTTTTTAAAAGGGTGCATGGAATTGCAGCTCTGTTAGGGAGCCAACTACAATTCCCAAGGTTCTTGGAAGGCGTGGAACGTACATGAAAATTATGATGTGGATCCGGCCAGCATTTGGCGCTCCATTAAAATGGGGGTTTTGCTTCTCGGTGTCTGTGGCAGGGAGAAGGTGGTGCCTGTTTTTTCAGGCCAGGGCTGATGGGAGTTGTAGTCCAACGACATCTGGAGCAGGCATAGGCAAACTCCGGTCCTCCAGATGTTTTGGAACTGCAACTCCCATCATCCCTAGCTAACAGGACCAGTGGTCAGGGATGATGGGAATTGTAGTCCGAAACATCTGGAGGGCCAGAGTTTGCCTATGCAAAACATCTGGAGGGTGACTGGCTGACAGAGGGTTTTCTCAGCCATCTTTCAGGGCAAAGCACCCTAAAATATCATGTCATATTTCAGCAAATACAGGCCCAGCTCAGGGTGCTCAACTTGGCATTCAAAGCCCTAAACTACTTAATAATAATGAATTATTATTATTATTATTATTATTGTTATTATTATTAGACCCCCAGATGCTACAGACTCTCTTGGCTGCCACGATTGGCAGAGGGGACTCTCTGCCACCAGAGGCTTAGGGTGGCAGCCCGGGGAATATTGCCTTCTTTAGGGCAGCCCCTGTTTTTTATATTGACATTTAATTGGATGAATTTCATTTATAAGGAAAGAAAGAGTTCAATAAGTGCTGAAAAGAAAGGTGCAGTGTAATGCAATTAGTACAATCAGTTACATTTCCATACTAAGTGATATTAGTATCTTAATACGCATATGGTTATTAATGAACCTGTTACATTCTGTATAAACTTGTTCCGAACATTAATATATTTGTCAAAAACAAAGTCTGCGTCTATCAGCAATCCATTCATAAGCTGCAGGTGTTGTCGCGTTGTCAATCCGTTGATTAAAAGGAATCGCATCTGCATTCTTCCAGTTCATCGGTATCAATCTCTTAGCAGCTTCCATAAAATAGCTATATAATTCAAAATCATACTTTCCTCTGAAAATGTTCACTTTTTCCATACGGTCATGTTTATATAGCCTAGCGCTTCTCCCAAAACTTAGTAAGTATAGAACACCGTAAAAGCATACGTTTCAAAGAGGCATTGTCCTTCTTGCATCGCCAGCAAAAAGCCATTTTTCGCTAGTCCTTTTTTATATAAACGTAAAGGAGTCCAATAAATTCTGAGCGTTATTTTCTGTTGTGTAAGTCTTAATTTAAGATGCATTGATGTCTTTGGTCCCAAGGCTGAAACACTTTCCCCTAAGTTGCAGAACTCCTTCCCCACCAGAGTTTCCTGTGAATATTGACCTTTTTACCCTGGTAAATATACCTGAAGGGTATATTTTTAGGACTCACCTTGTTTTTGTGATTGTAAGTTGTTTTAAAGTGCTTTTAATATCATGTTTAATGTTGCAACCTGCTCTGGGACCTTGAGAGTGAAGGGCGGGTGAATAATAATAATAATAATCCAATGTTTGAAAAATCAGTCTAAAAGTAGCGTACCACTCTACTTGCATGGCAAGAGAGAATGGCAAGTGTGCAAGAAGCTTCAGAAGAAAGCCCTGCTGCACTTAGTTCAGTGATACTTACTCCCAAGTAACTCACTACAGCGTTGAAGTCTAAACTAGGCATAGGCAAACTCCAGCCCTCCAGATGTTTGGGACTACAATTCCCATCATCCCTAGCTAACAGGACCAGTGGCCAGGGATGATGGGAATTGTAGTCCCAGACATCTGGAGGGCTGGAGTTTGCCTATGCCTGGTCCAAACCAACTTAAACTTGCTTCAGAACGGCATCACTATCAATCCTTTAAATGTGAGTAAGTAAATAAAAATGCCCTGAAAGAAATAAAAAATAAATAAATAAGTTACAGCCCCAGCAATTCATATTAGCTCTAAGCGATTGATGAAAAATCCTCTACAAATTAAACCAATTAATATTTTCAGCCCTATCTGGTTGTGATAATGTTTGGAATGTTTCAGTGATGTAGGTTAATTCTGTTTTGTATACGTGGTGCTAAGAATACTGTAATTCTCCACCCGGGTGAATAATGGAAAAATGGATTCTGCAAACGGTATAAATTACGCAAATCAAACACAAGATACACACAACTTAATTAATTTATTTTCTTGCATTTATATCCCAGCTTTCTTCCATCATGGGAGCCAAGACATCTTACCTTGTAATTTTTTTTTCTCCAGCTTTGGATTGTGCAAAGGTCAAACAGTTTTTGATACCCCATCCAATTCCTGCACCTTACAAAGGTTTATCAAGCATTTGAACCCTTATACAGAGTCCGACCATTGCTTCATCTGGAATAAACCTGAGACCTCCAATATGCAAATCATATACCATACCAGTGAGCTATGACCCTTCCCCCTAATCTGCCACACACTTACAAACCTACCTTGTAACAATGAGGTCTGGAAACTTTATTTTTTGTCTGGGAAAATGAAACTTGGGGTTCTGAGAACGCTGTGTGCAAGTACCAGATTCTGTACTGACTTGGTGAGTCACCCTCCTCAAATTCATTACAGGAGCACCTGTTTAGAAACTGGGTGCTGGCTCTTGAGCTTCATTTTCCTCTTCCCTCCTTGTCCCTCATTCCTTGTGTGTCGTGTTTTTCGAATATTGCAAGCCTTCGGGCAGAGACTGTCATATATTTTTTTAATGGATTGCATGCCGGTTGCTCTGGGAGCCTCTTTCAAGTGAAGGTAAAGGTAAATGTACCCCTGACTGTTAGGTCCAGTCGTGGCCAACTCTGGGGTTGCGGCGCTCATCTCGCTTTACTGGCCAAGGGAGCCGGCGTACAGCTTCCGGGTCATGTGGCCAGCATGATGAAGCCGCTTCTGGCGAAACCAGAGCAGTGCATGGAAACGCCGTTTACCTTCCCGCCGGAGTGGTACCTATTTATCTACTTGCACTAGTGTGCTTTCGAACTGCTAGGTGGGCAGGAGCAGGGACCAAGCAATGGGAGCTCACCCCGTCGCGGGGATTCGAACCGCCGACCTTCTGATCAGCAAGTCTTAGGCTCTGTGGTTTAGACCACAGCGCCCCCTGCGTCCCCTCTGTGGAGTTTAGGTAAAGGTAAAGGGACCCCTGACCATTAGGTCCAGTCTTGACCGACTCTGGGGTTGCAGCGCTCATCTCGCTTTATTGGCCGAGGGAGCCGGTGTACAGATTCCGGGTCATGTGGCCAACATGACTAAGCCGCTTCTGGTGAACCAGAGCAGCGCACGGAAACACCGTTTACCTTCCCACCGGAGCGGTACCTATTTATCTACTTCCACTAGCGTGCTTTCAGACTGCTAGGTTGGCAGGAGCAGGGACCGAGCAACGGGAGCTCACCCCGTCGCGGGGATTCAAACCACCGACCTTCCGATCGGCAAGTCCTAGATTCTGTGGTTTAACCCACGGCACCACCCGTGTCCCTTTCAGGTGAAGAGTGGGGTGCAAATTCTCCAAATTAATAAGACGGAAGCAGTAAGAGATGGGTTTGTCTGGTGGGGAGGCGCTCCCCGGCTTTGCTGACCGCTTGAGTCTTCTCAGAGAGCCAGTGTGGTGTAGTGGTTAAGAGCGGTAGTCTCGTAATCTGGTGAACTGGGTTCGCTTCCCCGCTCCTCCACATGCAGCTGCTGGGTGACCTTGGGCCAGTCACACTTCTCTGAAGTCTCTCAGCCCCACTCACCTCACAGAGTGTTTGTTGTGGGGGAGGAAGGGAAAGGAGAATGTTAGCCGCTTTGAGACTCAATCGGGTAGTGATAAAGCAGGATATCAAATCCAAACTGTTATGTACTGAAGTTCTCACCCTGGGCCAGCAGGGGGATACTGTAGATAGTTATGCAAATGAAGGATCGAAAGTGACGTTAAGTGATTGGATAGTTTGTATGCAAATGAAGGATCGAAAGTGATGTTCAGTGATTGGATAGTTTTAGAAAATGGCAACAGTTACATTGTTCTGGAGCTCTAAATCAGCAGGCTGACTGAGCTCCTCAGTCAGTTCTGTTCCAGCTTACAAATAAAGAGCTGCTTTGGAAGAATCGCTGTGTCGTCTGATATGTTTGCCCACAACTTAACACAAACTCTTCTTCTTCTTCTCTCCAGATCCAGGAATGGAACGTGGAGGCTCAGCATCTGATGCCCCTCCAGCCCCCCCTGGTCCCCGAGCTGAGCCACATGCGGGAAGCCCAGCTGCACACGGCGGAGGCGTCCCTGTGGAGCGTGGTGGCCACGGTCCAGGCCATGGAGCGGAAGATAGACCTGCTGGCCACCCGCCTGCTCAGCCTGGAGGGCAGATCTGGGACAGCCGAGAAGAAGCTGCTGGACTGCGAGAAGACGGCCATGGAGTTTGGGAACCAGCTGGAGGGCAAGTGGGCCGTGCTGGGGACCCTCATCCAGGAGTACGGGCTGCTTCAAAGGAGGCTGGAGAACGTGGAGAACCTCCTGAAGAACCGCAACTTCTGGGTCCTGAGGCTCCCCCCGGGGGCTAAGGGAGAAATCCCCAAGGTATATCTTTGCCACCCTTTGTATGGAAAAAGCAGGTCAAAGTCTTGGCGCTTTGGGGTGCCTTTTCTTTTGCACATTTTTGGTGTGCTCCCCATGACCCTGTGGACTGGAAGATAAGGCCCAAATATTTGAAAGCTTTGACCTGTTTGATTGGCTGATTGTCCATACACCAACTGTGGGGCCTATATTTTCTTGAGAAAACCATAACTTTGGTTTTCTGATAATTTATGATAATTTACGCAATACACTGAGAATTCTCTTATCAATCTTTTTAGGCCTATTTTTGTTTGGGATAAGAGGACCGCATCATCAGCATATATCGTATTTTTTGCTCTATAAGACACAGCACGGAGAGTCCACTCGTATTGTCCTTTTGTCAGGTTCCATGTGCTGGGTATATACCATATTTTTCGCTCCATAAGACACACTTTTTCCCTCCTAAAAACTAAGGCGAAATGTGTGTGCGTCTTATGGAGCGAATGCAGGCTGCGCAGCTATACCAGAAGCCAGAACAGCAAGAGGGATCCCTCTTGCTGTTCTGACTTCTGAGATTCAGAATATTTTTTTTATTGTTTTCCTCCTCCAAAAACTAGGTGCGTCTTGCGGTCTGGTGCGTCTTTTAGAGCGAAAAATACAGTAATAGTACAGAGATTGGGTTTGAGGCCAGTTTAGGAGTTTTGAAGATGTTAAGCACTGGACCATGTCGTTTTGTATAGGTTAACGAGTGCCGGGTCTAAAATGCATCCTTGCTTGACTCCCTTTATGGCTGGTACAGGTCCTGTAAGTTGGCCATTTGTAGAGCAACGCACTTTCAGCACAGTGTCTTTATAAAGGCAGTTAATCAGATATAATAATCTTTTGTCTTATGCTTGAGGTGTTTAATTTGGCCCCTAGTCTTACTCGTGAGATTGAATCAAAAGCAGCTTTCAAATCAATGAAAGCAGCATATAGCACACCGCGAGATTGCTTGGCGTACTTATCTATGAGGTGGGCTAGGACGAAGCAATGGTCTATAGTAGATCTGCCTTGCCTGAATCTTGCTTGCTCTTCTGCAAGGATAGCCTCAACATCAATCCAGCTGATCAATTTATTGTGGAGGTGTTTTGCATATAATTTACTAACTATAGGTAAGAGGCTGATAGGTCTGTAGCTGGCCGGATCCGATGTAAGGCCCTTTTTGAATATTGGGATGATTACCGCAGTGGCCCAGCTGTCCGGGAGTAAACCAGAAGAATCAACGTGAGAGAATACTGCCGCAAGCAGAGGCGCCCACTGAACCCTCCAACGTCCGGGGAATCCAAATCGGGCCGCTCACTTGTTTTGCGGGAGCCAGCCGACTCGTGCCAGAGCACTGGAGTAAAAAAGAAAGGGACATTCTGGGATCCCATCGGAAGCCGAGACGGCTTCTGCAATTCCAAGATGTCCTGCTTAAATTGGGGTGGTTGAGCTACAGGGTTCGGTTGGTCAGAGCGTGGCGCTGATAACGCCAAGGTTGCAGGTTCGATCCCCGTTTGGGAGAGTTGCTTACTCCTGCATTGCAAGGGGTTGGACTCAGGACGTTGCAGAGCCAGGCAGAGATAGATAATGTGCCCTCCTTATGTTCCTGTGGCTGAGTGGAGATTTGAACCCTGGTCTCTCGCAGGTCCTAGCACTCAAACCGCTACACTTCATTGCCTCTGTAATAATAATGACAATAATAATTGCAATAATTTGCAGATGCCGGTGACGTTTGTCGACATTGCCGTTTATTTCTCCGCCGAAGAGTGGAAGAACTTGGCCGAGTGGCAGAAGGACCTGTACAACAATCTGGTGAAGGAGAACTACGAGTCTTTGCTCAGCCTAGGTACGGAAACAACTGACCCACTTGCATCATATTTAGAAGGTTCGAAGCATTTCGTGCACATAGTCCTCGTGACAACACTGTAAGGGAGGCCGGTATTCGTTATCCTGCGATACGACCTGTGAGATTTCCTGAACGGATTGCGACTTGCCTGTTGGGTTTGTGGGGAGTAGCAAGATTCAGAAAGCAGACTTCAAAGAGTTTAGCCACCATTCTGGATGCTAATTTCGATTTTAGCCAGGCTCATCCTGTTCTCTCATTGGCCAAGCGGATTCCTGTGGCAGGGAGTTCCGCAGTTGCACTGCATGAAGGATTTTCTTTTATCGGTCCTGAATTTTGCATTGGATGCCCACAGGTCCGAGCGCTATGAGAAAGGGAGATATTTTCTCTCCCCCCCCCCATTTTTAAAATTCATTTTCTAACACAAATAAACAGCTCAAACAGAAAAACAAACAATAGAAACAGATTCTTGTCTTATCCTTATTTTTTCTAAACATTGTTAGGTGGGCTTCCCCAAGTCCCACCTATCTGATTTTCATTTTACCTCATCTTTAGCTGTTCACATATATCATAATTTCTAACCTTTTTTTTAAATCACACTTACTTTAACCATAAAAATCTTCACATTTTATCACTTGCAAATAATACTATTTTAAAATACACTTCTACTTCTAACCCTACAGCCTAATCCACTTCCAAAGCTATTCTAAGATCTAAATATTACCATCTTTTTTGAATATATTCCTTAAACTTCTTCCAATCTTCTTCCACCATCTCTTCTCTCTGGTCTCGGAGTCTCCTGGTTAGTTCGGCAAGTTCCATATAGCCCATCATCTTCATCTGCCATTCTTCGATAGTTGGTAAATCTTGTTTCTTCCAGTTCTTCGCTAGCAATATTCTCGCAGCTGTTGTGGCATACAGAGAGGGAGATCTTTTCTCCAACCTAACATTCTGAACTTCCAATATATTGTTTCCCAAACTTGGGCCTCCAGTTGTTTTCGGACTACAGTTCCCATCATCCCTGACCACCGGTCTTGCTAGCTGGGGATGATGGGAATTGTAGTCCAAAACCAGCTGGAGACCCAAGTTTGGAAAACACTGTTCTATCATGCCACCTCTTGTTGTTGTTTAGTCGTTTAGTCGTGTCAGACTCTTCGTGACCCCCTGGACCAGAACACGCCAGGCACTCCTGTCTTCCACTGCCTCCCGCAGTTTGGTCAAACTCATCCTGGTAGCTTCCAGAACACTGTCCAACCATCTCGTCCTCTGCCGTCCCCTTCTCCTTGTGCCCTCCATCTTTCCCAACATCAGGGTCTTTTCCAAGGAGTCTTCTCTTCTCTTGAGGTGGCCAAAGTATTGGAGCCTCAGCTTCAGGATCTGTCCTTCCAGTGAGCCCTCAGGGCTGATTTCCTTAAGAATGGAGAGGTTTGATCTTCTTGCAGTCCATGGGACTCTCAAGAGTCTCCTCCAGCACCAGAATTCAAAAGCATCAATTCTCCGGCGATCAGTCTTCTTTATGGTCTAGCTCTCACTTCCATACATCACTACTGAGAAAACCATAGCCTTTACTATACGGACCTTTGTTGGCAAGGTGATGTCTCTGCTTTTTAAGATGCTGTCTAGGTTTGTCATTGCTTTTCTCCCAAGAAGCAGGCGTCTTTTAATTTCGTGACTGCTGTCACCATCTGCAGTGATCACGGAGCCCAAGAAAGTAAAATCTCTCACTGCCTCCTTTTCTTCCCCTTCTATTTGCCAGGAGGTGATGGGACCAGTGGCCATGAACTTCGTTTTTTTTATTTTTGATGTTTTGATCATGCCACCTCTTACCTTTCCTCTAAACTAAAAAGTCCCAGCGTTGCAACCTTTTTTTGTAACATCTGGAAAGCATGAGGTTTAGGGAAGGCTGTGCTCAGAACGGTGGGATTGTTCGGGATCTGTAAGGAGAAATCGTGGAGCGATGAAGGATGACTTGTGTTCGCTGGGGAGGGGGAAGAGATCTAGTTAAAAATCATCTTTCTCCTTCAAAGTCTTTATCTTCTCTTCTTCTCTTCTTCATGCCTTCTCCAGGAAGAGAGACTTTTGGTTTCGGGGGGATATTTTTTGGTAACATCTTTATTGAAAGTTCAAAAAGGACTTAACTATAAGTGTACCAAAAATGGTGAGATGCAAACGAAAAGGAGAAACAGAACCCACGCAGGAGGGAAAACAAAACCCCAAACTGTATACCGTATTTTTTGCTCTCTAAGACACACCAGACCACAAGACGCACCTAGTTTTTGGAGGAGGAAAACAAGAAAAAAAATATTCTGAATCTCAGAAGCCAGAACAGCAAGAGGGATCGCTGCGCAGTGAAAGCAGCAATCCCTCTTGCTGTTCTGGCTTCTGGGATAGCTGTGCAGCCTGCATTCGCTCCATAAGATGCACACACATTTCCCCTTACTTTTTAGGAGGGAAAAAGTGAGTCTTATAGAGCAAAAAACACGGTATTTTACAAGGTTGTTATAGTATTTCACCAGATCTTAACCTATTACAGTATTTATAAGAATGGATTCCAAATATCATTGAATTTGCCCATGGCAAGTCTGCGTTTATATGCTAGTTGTTCATATGTTGTGAGTTTGTATAAGTCTCCAATCCAATCGTAGAAGGATTTTTATTTTTCCAATTTTTATGTTTCCAGTTCATCAGTATCTGTCTTTTTGCTGTGGTCAGGGCACGGAGAGTCCACTCGTATTGTCCTTTTGTCAGGTTCCATGTGCTGGGTATATACCGTATTTTTCGCTCCATAAGACACACTTTTTTCCTCCTAAAAGGTAAGGGGAAATGTGAGTGCGTCTTATGGAGCATCCTTCTGTTCCTCCTCCCGCTTTGCTGAACAGACGTTGCGCAGCTCTCCCTCTCTGTGCAGCACTTCTCCTGCGAAGGAGAGGGACTGCGCAGAGAGGGAGAACTGTGCAGCGCCCCTTCAGCGATGTGCCTGTCCTGGCTTCTGCCTTAGCTGCGTGCAGCCTCTTCGGGCAGGGGGAGCCTTCATCCCGCTGCCCTGAAGAGACTTGGCGCGGTTATCCCAGAAGCCAGAACAGACACACAGTAACCCAGAAGCCAGACCCCTCTTGCTGTTCTGGCTTCTGGGATTCAGAATAATTTTTTCTTGTTTTCCTCCTCCCAAACCTAGGTGCGCCTTATGGTCTGGTGCGTCTTATGGAGCAAAGAATACGGTAATTCAGTAGGATGTTTTGCTCTGTAAATGTGAGGTTGTTCCATACAGTTCTGTTGATGGTTTTGGTTACCTTCTGCCAAAAGTCTTTCAATATGGGACAATGAAAAAAAAACATATGTTTTAGAGAAGCATCGTCCCTATTTCTCCAGGAGCAGATGTTAACATTTCCAAACCGGAGGCTCATCCCAGAATTGAACGCGGCGCAGAGCCATGTATTCCAGAACAGCAGAGCACAAAGGAGAGGGAGATATCTACGGATCCTTGCACAGGTGAGGAAAGCAATTTGGAAGAAATTGGGTGTGCAAGGAGGGGGAAAAGGTAAAGGTAAAGGGAGCCCTGACCATTAGGGTCCAGTCATGGCCGACTCTGGGGTTGCGCCGCTCATCTTGCTTTACTGGCCGAGGGAGCCGGTACAGCTTCCGGGTCATGTGGCCAGCATGACTAAGCCGCTTCTGGCGAACCAGAGCAGCGCACAGAAACGCCCTTTACCTTCCCACCGGAGCGGTACCTATTTATCTACTTGCACTTTGATGTGCTTTAGAACTGCTAGGTTGGCAGGAGCTGGGACCGAGAAACGGGAGCTCACCCCGTTGCGGGGATTCGAACCGCCAACCTTCTAACCAGCAAGTCCTAGGCTCTGTGGTTTAACCCACAGCGCCACCCCAGTCCCTTGCAAGGAGGGGTAGGTTGATTCTAAAAAATCTGGGCCATCACATGCCAGACATTATTGCTGTTGAGAAAACACCACTTTTAAAGAAAACAGGAGTTTCCCCTTCGTATTTTCTATTGCAGGGATCGGGTGGGTTTAAACCACAATTTAAATCACTAGCCAGTAAGACTTGATTTTTTTTTTACAGAAAGACTCATTCTTGCTGGTGTGATCTTAATATTTACAACCAGACGAAGGTTTCATTTTTGGAATAATAAATTTTCAGTGTAGTTTTTACAGTTATATAAAAAATGACTGATTTGGTTATACTATTAGAAATACATAGACAAATAATTATGAAATTGTTTACAGATAGGTAGCCATGTTGGTCTGCCGGAGTCAAAACAAAATAAAAAAATTCCTTCCAGTAGCACCTTATAGACCAACTAAGTTTGTTATTAGTATGAGCTTTCGTGTGCCTACACACTTATCCGAAGAAGCGTGCAAGCACACGAAAGCTCATACCAATAACAAAATCAGTTGGTCTATAAGGTGCTACTGGAAGGAATTTTTAATGAAATTATTGTTTATGTTTGCACAACTTTTCTGCTGTACTTTATTGGAAGGAGAAAAACAATCATTTCCTTAATAACAATTTAAACAATTTATTTAACTAAAACAATAACATTACAGCATATGTATCCATGTTTGTTGACTGATGTGGTTAAACGATTTTTAAAAAAACAGACTGAGTTTTATCACACATGAAAAACTTAAAACAAATCCTTATTTCCTGATGAATAGCCTTTGGACTATAATGTAACTTAAATAGAAAACTATCTTTAGGTAGATTTTTCCTCCAAAAGCATTTTAATTTAAAAATCTAATTTAAATCAAAAAAGTCTGATCTGAATCAAAAAATCTGATTTTTCAAAACAATTTTTAAAAAACCATTGATTTTTATCCACCCTGGCAGGGATGAAACCTGTGTTCATTGCCAGCGTAGGTGCAGAATGGACCATTGCCAATGACTCAGGGCTGCAGCTAATTTGCAAGCCTCCATTGCATATCATTTAACGCCCATTTGCATATCAAACAGACTAGGGGAATCGGCTCAGCTGGCGCAAATGGGAGTTGCCTGGGTGCAATGCTCCACTCTCCTTAAAGGTAAAGGGACCCCTGACCATTAGGTCCAGTCGTGGCCGACTCTGGGGTTGCGGCGCTCATCTTGCTTTACTGGCCGAAGGAGCCGGCGTACAGCTTCCAGGTCATGTGGCCAGCATGACTAAGCCGCTTCTGGCGAACCAGAGCAGCGCACGGAAACGCCGTTTACCTTCCCGCCGGAGCGGTACCTATTTATCTACTTGCACTTTGACGTGCTTTCAAACTGCTAGGTTGGCAGGAGCAGGGACCGAGCAATGGGAGCTCACCCCGTCGCGGGGATTTGAACTGCCGACCTTCTGATCGGCAAGTCCTAGGCTCTGCGGTTTAACCCACAGCGCCACCCGTGTCCCATTCTCCTTACAGAGCTACAATTTCCAGAGTAGTTTAAAATTTAGGCTCTCTCCCCCTCCCCCAGGGAACTCTGGGAATTGTAGCTCCGTGAGGGAATCAGGGGTCTCCTAACAACTTGAAGCACCATTGACAAACTATAGTTCTTGGGATTTTTTGCGGAAAGCCAGAACTTCAAAGTACAGCGCAGATGGGGCCTAATTCTTTTTGCGTCTTTACCAAGCTACCAGCTTTTGAAACTGTTTTATAACAGTCCTGCATCCTGACTGCCTTTCTCTTAGTACAGTCCTACCTCCTCGGAAGCTGAACGGAATTCGTTCCGGAAGTCCGTTCGACTTCCAAAACGTTCGGAAACCAAGGCACGGCTTCTGATTGGCCGCTGGAAGCTCCTGCAGCCAATTGGAAGCCGTGGAACCCGTGTCGGACGTTCGGGTTCCAAAGAACGTTCGCAAACTGGAACACTCCTTTCCGGATTTGCGGCGTTCAGGAGCCAAAACGTTCAACTTGTAAGGAGTTCAACTTCTGTATACCGGTCAGGAATTTCCAAACCAATTAGAAACCGATTTCCTATTGATTAGCTGCATAGATCAGGATAATGGGTCCCATAATTCTCTTCTGGTCTTCCGTCTCGACAGCCCCTCTCAAAACTCCAGAGACCAAGAGTCATAAATAATATTTGCAATATTTGCGACACTCCCGGATGCCTAAACGGGCTGTATAGCCTCTCAATTACCGTAAATCTTCTCCCTCTCCTTCCAGCTCCGTTGTCAGAATAGCAGCTTTCAGATCCAAGCACGGAAGGAGCAATTTGTTTGTTCTTCAAAAAGAAAGGGAAAATTGCTCTTCTGCTGATGTTCCCAACAAGATACCTGCGGGCACAATAGCACTTCATGTTTTGGGGGGACAGGGGGCGGGCGGGTGTGGGGGATTCCCTGGTCCTGAATGGGGTAACTGTGCCCCTGAAGGAGCAGGTGCGCAGCCTGGGAGTCATTCTGGACTCACAGCTCTCCATGGAGGCGCAGGTCAATTCTGTGTCCAGGGCAGCTGTCTACCAGGTCCATTTGGTACGCAGGATGAGACCCTCCCTGCTCGTGGACTGTCTCACCAGAGTGGTGCATGCTATGGTTATCTCCCGCTTGGACTACTGCAACACGCTCTACGTGGGGCTACCTTTGAAGGTGACCCGGAAACTGCAATTAATCCAGAATGCGACAGCTAGAGTGGTGACTGGGAGTGGCCGCCGGGACCACATAACACCGGTTCTGAGAGATCTGCATTGGTTCCCAGTCTGTTTCTGAACACAATTCAAAGTGTTGGTGCTGACTTTGAAAGCCCTAAACGGCCTTGGTCCAGTAGACCTGAAGGAGCGTCTCCACCCCCATCATCCAGCCCAGTCACTGAGGTCCAGCGCCGAGGGCCTTCTGGCGGTTCCCTCATTGCGAGAAGTGAGGTTACAGGGAACCAGACAGAGGGCCTTCTTGGTAGTGGCGCCCGCCCTGTGGAATGCCCTCCCTTCAGATGTGAAGGAAATAAGCAGCTATCCTATTTTTAAAAGACATCTGAAGGCAGCCCTGTTCAAGGAAGTTTTTAATATTTAACGCTGTACTGTTTTTAACACTTGATTGGGAGCCGCCCAGAGTGGCTGGGGAGACTCAGCCAGATGGGCGGGGTATAAATAATAAATTATTATTATTATTATTATTATTATTATTATTATTATTCATATAGTGGCGAGAGTGGTCACCTTTTCCCTCCCTTCACATGGGAGCAACCACTGCCTTCTTATAGAACCATAGAATTACAGCGTTAAACGGGACCTCCAGGGGTCATCCAGCCCAACCCGCTGCCATGCAGTTCAGGAATCACGACTAAAGAATCCCTGGCAGATGGCCACCCAACCTCTGCTTTAAAAAAACCTCCAACTGAGGTTTCCTTATGTTTACTATATGTGGAATTTTAGGTTAGGTTTTCTGCACCTGAAATTTGGAGAAGGTGGAGAGGGATTTCCCTTGGGTCGGCAAGCCTGTTAAAGTATCTCTTCCTCTGTCCTTTCCCTCCTCCTTCCCTCCTTTTTACAGAACCCTTGATTTGCACGCCAGACGTCCTGAGCCGCATCAAGCAAGAGGAGCCCTTTGCAGGGGGAGGCCAGTTCACAGAGGAAAGAGGGATGCCAGCAGATCCGTGTTCAGGTGATTTGCGTGGAAGGGGACCGAGGGTCATCTAGTTCAACCCCCTGCAATGCAGGAATAATAATAATAATAATAATAATAATAATAATAATATTTACCTATATCCCGCTCTATATCCGGGGCGTCTCAGGGCTGTTGACAGACTAGAATCAAGATATAAAACCACAACATACTTACCGTATTTTTCGCTCTATTGGACGCACCGGACCATAGGAAGGAGAGATGGATTATATGGAACTGACGGACAGGACTGGCAGAATCCGAAGCCAGGGAGAGGAGATAGTGGAAGATTAATGGAAAATTTAAAGTGTTTATTTAGAAATTTTGTTAAAGTAATGACTGTCAGAAAAATGGTGGAATGATATTTTATGGATTTAGCAGAAATGCTATAAGAAGTTGGGTGTATATAAGCAATCAACCGTTAATGGGAAATAAGGTTAAAGAATATGTTATTCATAATATGACAGAAAATAGAGAAAGATGGAAAGGATTTGCTGAAACAAGTACTAGAAGCGGGATACAAGAAGGGAGGTGTGAGGAAGTCGAGGAAACAAGGGAATGAAGGACAGAGTATGGAAAAGGAGGGATGTTTTTAAATTGTTTTTGTCTTGCTTTGTTCATGTGTTTAGTTCAATGGGTTTAGGGTGGGCTTGTATTGTTTATATATTGTATTGTTTTTCTCTTTCTTTTTTGTTTTTTCTCTCTTTTTTCTACTTTTTTGTAACTTTTAAAAGCAATAAATATTATTTTTTTTAAAAAAGAGAATAGGGGGAAAACATTTTTTCTTGTTCTCCCCCTCAAAAACAAGGTGCGTTCAAGAGCAGGCCTTGCCGCTGCGCCCCGAGCTTGTGGGGCTGGCGGTGGGGTAAGCGCTGCTTTCCCCCACCGCCAGCCTCAAAGATCCCTGAAGCCTTTGGAGCGCAGCTGCACTCCAAAGTCTTGAGGCTTCGGGGACATCCTTTGTAGCCTCCACCGCCCTTTGAAGGCACCCCGCCATCCTGAAGCTGGAACAGCGAGATGGAGGGCTGCGCAGCGCCCCGTCTCGCTGTTTCGGCTTTGGTGACAGCAGGCTGCTATCCGCAAGCCTTCTGAGCCCGGCAGGAACTCCTGCCGGGCTCCGCAGGCTTGCAGAGAGCTGCCCAAAGCCCGGGGTGCACAGTGATGCGCTCCCTGGACTTCGGGCTGCTGGCGGGAACTCCTGCCGGGCTCTGCAGGCTTGCAGAGAGCTTCCTGAAGCCTGCGCACCGACCCCTCTCGCTCTCCAGGCTTCAGCGAAAGCCTGCATTCGCCCCATAGGACGCACACACTTTCCCCCTTCATTTTTTAGAGGGGGAAAAGTGCGTCCTATAGAGCGAAAAATACGGTAATAAAATTAAAAACCACAACCCCCAAAAACCACATTTTAAAAGGGCATAGGACGTAAATCGGATCAACCAAAGGCCTGGTTAAAAAGGAACACTGAATTGGCAGAATCCCTAATTTATTATTATTATTATTATTATTATTATTATTATTATTATTATTGAATTTATATACCACCCTATGCCCGGAGGTCTCAGGGCAGTTCACATAAAAAGGTCACAGAATATAAAATTAAAATAAAAGCAATCACCCAATAATACCAACCCCCAAAAGAACCACATTTTAAATGAGTATGGGATGTTGATCAGGTCAAACAAAGGCCTGGTTAAAAAGGAACTTTTTGCCTGGCGCCTAAAGGTGTATAATGAAGGCGCCAGGTGAACTTCCCTGGGGAGAGTATTCCACAGACGGGGAGCCACTGCAGAAAAGGCCCTGTTCTCGTGTTGCCACCCTCTGGACCTCTCAAGGAGGCGGCACATGTAGGAGGGCCTCAGAAGATGATCTCAGGGTCCGGGTAGGTTCATCTGGAAAGAGGTGTTGTGGTCCTGAGGAATCACAGCTAAAGAATCCCAACCCCAGTAGAGAAACCTCCAATGATTCACCTTTCAAGGAAATCCGTTCCACCGCTGACTAAACAGCTCATAGCCTCCCAAAGTTCTCCCTAACGTTTAGTCAGAAACTTCTTTCTTGTCATTTGAACCAAATGGGTGCCCTCCAGACGTTTTGGATGGTCACTCTCACCAACTGCCCGGGTGCTGATGGGAGTTGTAGTTCAAAACATCTGGCAGGTACCAGGTTGGGGGAAGCGCCTGCTCTGTAGGACTTCCATTGTCATCTTGTTTTTTGACACTCGCTTTTTAGTAGACTATGTGGAGGACTCCCTGGTCCTGAATGGGGTAACTGTGCCCCTGAAGGACCAGGTGTGCAGCCTGGGAGTCATTTTGGACTCACAGCTGTCCATGGAGGGGCAGGTCAATTCTGTGTCCAGGGCAGCTGTCTACCAGCTCCATCTGGTACGCAGGATGAGACTGCCCCTGTCCACAGACTGTCTCACCAGAGTGGTGCATGCTCTGGTTATCTCCTGCATGGACTACTGCAATGCACTCTACGTGGGGCTACCTTTGAAGGTGACCCAGAAACTGCAACTACTCCAGAATGCGGCAGGTAGACTGGTGACTGGGAGCGGCCGCCAAGACCATATAACACTGGTCCTGAAAGACCTCCGTCGGCTCCCAGTACGTTTCCAAGCACAATTCAAAGTGTTGGTGCTGACCTTTAAAGCCCTAAATGGCCTCGGTCCAGTATACCTGAAGGAGCGTCTCCACCCCCATCATTCTGCCCTGACACTGAGGTCCAGCTCTGAGGGCCTTCTGGCGGTTCCCTCACTGCGAGAAGTGAGGTTACAGGGAACCAGGCAGAGGGCCTTCTCGGTGGTGGCGCCCGCCCTGTGGAACGCCCTCCCACCATATGTCAAAGAGAAGAACAACTACCAGACTTTTAGAAGACATCTGAAGGCAGCCCTGTTTAGGGAAGCTTTTAATGTTTAATAGGTTATTGTATTTTAATATTCCTTTGGAAGCCGCCCAGAGTGGCTGGAGAAACCCAGCCAGATGGGCGGGGTATAAATAGTAAATTATTACTATTATTGTTGTTGTTGTTTTGAGACTCGTTTTTTAGTAGAATAGGCCGACCTGTGCCAGATGATTTGCACTGCAATTCCCAGTCGTGCTGGCTGGGCTAATGGGAGTTGTAGTACGGAACAGATGAAGCTGGGGTTGGGGAAGACTAGAACAGGTCAATCTTTTCGATGGACAGGCTTTGACCTCTTCTTTGCCAGGGTTTGGGCGGCCATGCGGAGGTTCTCGTTCGCCTGACTGACACGAGGGCCGCCTTCTTCTGAACTGTTTTGTTTGATTCTCTTCGCAAAGGTGCTGAGGGCCTCATGTCCGCCCATGACTTCTTGTCGTGGATTAAGCAAGAGGAGGAGCCATGCGTCAGGGAACACTGGGAGTCGGCAGAGAGAGACATCCTTACGGGCTCCGGAACAGGTGAGCAGCCTTTAGGATGAGCGTGCCTGCCTCAGTTCCTGCATATAGCTGCAATCCCTGCCTCCCACGAACATAATCATGGCAAGGGGGAGACTTATCCTGGTTCCATCCTATCAGCCAGAGAATAAGAAGCTGCTTCATTGCTTGCTTTCGAGCCCTATGTAGGGGGTTGGGCTAGATGACCCTTGCCCCTTTCCACTGTGCGATTCTAAGTCTCTTTCCTCTTCCCTCCCCATTCCTTTTTCCTTTTGTGTCATGTCCACGAGATTGTGAACCTTCAAGCAGGAACTGTCTCTGTACATCACTTAGAAACCTTTAGATGCTTTGTAAGCATTCTAGAATAATGCTGGGGCCTGCAAACAGTTTAGGCATGCGGGTACATTTGGGTTTCTGAGAAAGTCGTAGTCCAACCCTCTGCAATCTAGTCCCTCTTCTTCCAGATTGGCCAATCCCTGAGATAGAAAGTGTCTGTGCCTATTTATTTTATTCTGCCTAAATCTCTTAAGTGTTTTACAGTGTTACCTTGGTTCTCAAACTTAATCCGTTCCGGAAGTCCGTTCCAAAACCAAAGCGTTCCAAAACCAAGGCGCTTTCCCATAGAAAGTAATGCAAAATAGATTAATCAGTTCTAGACTTTTAAAAACAACTCCTAAAACAGCAATTTGACATGAATTTTACTCTCTAACGAGACCATTGATCCATAAAATGAAAGCAATAACCAATGTACTGTACTATAAAATAAATAAGCAGATGATAAAAATTAAAATTGTATTTTTTTTATTAGCTGGACTGATGATAGTCCTTGTTTGGATGGGGGCTTTTATCCATTTCCACAGTCACACAATCAATCAATCAGTAGTGGAACTGGGCTCCACATAGTCACAAAAACAAATTAACCGAAAAAGCCTCAAAAACAAAAACGCAAAATAAATAGCAAAAACAAAAGTGCCAAACTTAATCTGTTCCAGAAGTCCTGTTTGACTTCCGAAATGTTTGAAAACCAAGGCTGGTGCAGGTGGCCCAGAAACAATAGCCGACAGCCACATTGGATGTTCGGCTTCCGAAATACGTTCGAAAACCGGAACACGTCTGGGTTTTTGGCATTTGGGAACCAAGGCGTTTGAGAACCAAGGTACCACTGTACATAGTGTGCTTTTTCAAGGGAGCTGAGCAAAAGTTGGACCCAGCGGCATTAAGTCTGAGCCCTGAAAAGCCCATAGAGCGGGAGGAGGAAGTGGGAAGAGTGCCCTTCTTTCAACTTCTTCCTTCTGCTCTGTATCCTTCTCAAGGGAGAAAAGGGTATCTGCCCTCACCGCCTCTTGATAAGGAGACATGGGAGGTGCTGTGAAAGCCATGGGGGGAGATCTCAGGGGTCCCATTGTGCCCGCGGGCACCCTGTTGGTGACCCCTGAGCTGTGCCCATTGGGCTAAACTCTCCCAGTCTCTCCCCCAAATAAAACCCCTGTGGAAGTGACTTCCTTTGCCACCACCTGTGGCTGGGATGAATAACTGCGGCCCATTCTTTTTGGCTTTGAAATACAGTGGTATCTCTGGATGCGAACAGGATCCGTTCCGGAGCCCCGTTCGCATCCTGAAGCGAACGCAACCCGCGTCTGCACGTCATTTTGAGCGTCTGCACATGCGCGAGCGGTAAAACCCGGAAGTAACGTGCTCTGTTACTTCCGGGTCGCCGCAGAGCGCAACCCGAAAATATTCTTCCCGAAGCTACTTCAACCCGAGGTATGACTGCAATAATGAAAAATGATCGAAAAAATAAATAAATAACTGCGGCCTGTTTCCTCTCTGGAGAGCCAGTGTGGTGTAGTGGTTAAGAGCGGTAGACTCGTAATCTGGGGAACCGGGTTCGGGTCTCCATTCCTCCACATGCAGCTGCTGGGTGACCTTGGGCTAGTCACACTTCTCTGAAGTCTCTCAGCCCCACTCACCTCACAGAGTGTTTGTTGTGGGGGAGGAAGGGAAAGGGGAATGTTAGCCGCTTTGAGACTCCTTCGGGTAGTGATAAAGCGGTATATCAAATCCAAAGTCTTCTTCTTCTTCTTCTCTCTTCCTTCCAGCTGGCGACGCGATGGCCGTCAAAGCCGAGACCCAGCGCTCGTGCCCGGAAGAACCGGCGCGGGCCAGGGATTCCGTGTTCCATGGCGAGGCCCCCGTATCTGCCGGGGCGGCGGCGGCGGCGGCATCGGCGGCGATGGAATCCTATGTGGGCCCGGGCGGCCCGGGCGCGCCGCCCCTGAGCCCCGCCAGGAGCCGACCGGGTAAATCCATTGAGTTAGAGAGCGAGTTGCAAGGCCTCTTTGCCCCACAGCCGCCGGCCGAGCGCCCCCACGGCTGCAGCGAGTGCGGGAAGATGTTTGGGGTGAAGAAGAGCTTGAAGGTTCACCAGCGGAGCCACCACAGCCAGGAGCGGCCGTACGAGTGCGAGGAGTGCCGCAAGAGCTTCAACTGCCACTCGGGTCTGGTGCGGCACCAGATGACACATCGCGGGGAGCGGCCCTACAAGTGCGAGGAGTGCGGCAAGTGCTACAGCCGCAAGGAGCACCTTCAGAACCACCAGCGGCTTCACACAGGCGAGAGGCCTTTCCAGTGCCCGGTCTGCGGCAAACGGTTCATCCGCAAGCAGAACCTGCTAAAGCACCAGCGCATCCACACCGGGGAGAGGCCCTATCAGTGCGCCGAGTGCGGGAGGAGCTTCCGCTACAAGGAGTCCCTCAAGGACCACCTGAGGACTCACAGCACCGAGCCCCCGCCCAGAGGCTGCTGCCCTCCCTGGGCGGGGAGCCACTCCCGTAAGGCCCTGTGAGGGAAGAAGGAGAAACAGCTTTCTCCATAGCTGTCAACGTTTCCCTTTTTTAAAGGGAAATTCCCTTCTCCCGAATAGGATTCGTCGCAAGAAAAGGGGAAAGTCGACAGCTTTGGCTCTCTCTTGCACTCCTTCTCCCCCCCCCAAAAAAACCCCTCCCCTCAGCCTCCTTCCCCTCCAGTGCCTCCCGATTCTGCCTGGCGCGGGGGGCATAGCCGCCGCAAAGACCGCTGGACGGTGGGCGTGAGGCCGCCTTGGTTCTGCGAATGCCACGGGGCAGCCGCACCTCGTTCCCCAAATGCGCACCGCCTTGCTCCCGAATCGGCCTTTGCGGAACAATAACGAGCGGAACCCGCAAGGGACGCGGGCGGCGCTGTCTGCCGCAGGCCGGAACCTCTAGACTTCCCGGAGACTGACGCTGAGGATCTGATGATTTCGCTTGGGGATGTTTCTAGCCCTCATTGAGGAGGGGGGTTCCAGGAGCATGGCGGCAACGTGCGCATGTGTGTTCTAAAGGCTCAGAAACCAAATTCCAAACCCCACACCCTGCTCACTCCCTCCATGTCTCAAATGGGTTTTTCCCCTCGCACATCCGGAAGGAATGATTTTAATTTTAGCAGGACGTTAGCCTTGAGCAGAAGCCCCCAGAACGGACCCTTTTTGGCTAAAATGCGGCTTCTCGTACGTACGAATAAGGACGTTTGCGTCTCCCTCGTCTCTTTCTCTTGGGTGGCCAGTTTGCGTTGCTCCTCTGTGGGACTTGTTTGAGCCTCTGCTTTTCTTTTCTCTTTTCCCCTCAGGGCCTGCTTCTGTTCAGTGTCTCTGAACAGTCTCACTGCAAAGCACCTTTTCCAGGTATCACCGCCCCCACCCCCCCCGAACCCCAACCCCCAAGTCCTGCATTTCTTTCCCCACCGCAAGTATATTTATTCGTTCTCGTCCCTCTTTCCTCCCATGCCGTTGCTATTATTTTTAAAAAAGAAATTCCTTTTATCTCATGACAACGCAGTCCAACTCTGTTTTTAAAAATAAACATTAAAAAAAGAGAGAGAATTATTTCCGGGTGTAGTTTTGTATCAGAGGTGCAATGCAAATAATAATAATAATAATAATAATAATAATAATAATAATAATAATTTATTATTTATACCCTGCCCATCTGGCTGGGCCTCCCCAGCCACTCTGGGCGGCTTCCATAGAAACCAAAAATACAGTAAAATATCACACGTTAAAAACTTCCCTGAACAGGGCTGCCTTAAGATGTCTTCTGAATGTCAGGTAGTTGTTTATCGCTTTGACATCTGCTGGAAGGGCGTTCCACAGGGCGGGCACCACTACCAAGAAGGCCCTCTGCCTGCTTCCCTGTAGCTTTGCTTCTCGCAATGAGGGAACAAAATAGAAAGTGGGGGGGGGGCGGAAGCTGCTGGGGTTGCAGTTTTTATTCATAGGATCATAGAACTATAGGAAAGGGACTTAGGGGTCATCTAGTCCAACCCTCTGCAGTTTGGAACGTGTTTTGGTGCTCAGAGGTCCTCTGATTTTCATGGCTGTATAGGATTTGGCGGTTGGCTTTTCCCATACTTGAGCTTAGGGCCTCTTGCGTGTTTTTGAAAGATGCACAGCTAGGATTGAAATTGAAATACTTTATTGTCACTTGTACAACTTGTATACAGTGAGATCATTACATTACATTATTATATTATATTATATTATATTATATTATATTATATTATTATACAGGATGATTCTGTATAACCTAACATCTAAAAAACGAACACATCAAAGTGCTTGAAATGGTGTGTGTGTATCTCTCTCACACCTACCCACACAGTTAGGTCTAACCTCAGGAAACTGGGACCAGTCTTGAGTTTTTATTGGGTACACATGCAAAACTGGACTTGGTATATGTGCAAAACAACCCACCCACCTCACAGCGTCTCCCTGCCTGACGGTGGAAGCTCCTTCATCAGCTAACTTTTAAGGGGTCGTGTAAGTTTAAAGAATCCGTATAAAAATATCCTGTTATTTTCTACGTTTCTCAGAGATAACAACTAAGTGTGGGTAGATCAACGTGTATCTTGAGCTTTTCTGTGCGTTTTCCAAGGTACACGTTGATCTACCCACACTTAGTTGTTATCTCTGAGAAAGGCAGAAAATAACAGGATATATTTATACGAATAAAGCAGAGACATCACCTTGCCAACAAAGGTCCGTATAGTTCAAGCTATGGTTTTTCCAGTAGGGATGTATGGAAGTGAGAGCTGGACCATAAAGAAGGCTGATCGCCAAAGAATGGATGCTTTTGAATTCTGGTGCTGGAGGAGACTCTTGAGAGTCCCATGGACTGCAAGAAGATCAAACCTCTCCATTCTGAAGGAAATCAGCCCTGAGTGCTCACTGGAAGGACAGATCCTGAAGCTGAGGCTCCAAGACTTGGGCCACCTCATGAGAAGAGAAGACTCCCTGGGAGAGACCCTAATGTTGGGAAAGATGGAGGGCACAAGGAGAAGGGGACGACAGAGGATGAGATGGTGGGACAGTGTTCTCAAAGCTACCAGCATGAGTTTGACCAAACTTCGGGAGGCAGTGGAAAACAGGAGTGCCTGGCGTGCTCTGGTCCAGGGGGTCACGAAGAGTCGGACATGACTAAACGACTAAACAACAACAACAATTTATACGAATTCTTCTAACTTACATGACCCCTTAACAATTAGCTGATGAAGGTGAATACGTCGGAACAGGGCCCTGTCACTATTGATTTGCGAGTAGGGACCACTCCCACTACTGAAACTTACATTGGCCAGAGTATTTGGTGTGGTTTTTTTGTCTTGGTATATTTAATAACAAGAACTCCAACTTATTTGACGGTGGAAGCTTGCAGGGGGGTGATGGGTAGGCAAACAACGGATGCAGCAGAAAAAGGTTCAATGGGTTGGGAGTAGACCCATCTCCTGCAATGTCATCATCCCAAAAGCTACACCACAGCTGTGACAAAATAAAACACCAGGAGTAAATATTGAATATTGGGGGGGGGAGGAGGCAACTAATAACATTGGGAAAGGAAAGTGGGCAGATGTTGAGATGGTGCAGAAAACCCCAAACCTTTTCGCTGCCTCACACCCACCACCCACGCCACCCCCAAGATGACGGCTGAAGAATTCCCTTTGATGGATCCTGGAAAAACAGCCCGGTCCTCTGGTTTCTGAGCCTTTGGAACAGTGCCCCCCCCCCTCGTGTTTTCAGTCTGGTCTCAGCCACCAAGAGGACTAGCGGCTTGCTTTCCAATGAAACGGAGATCCTCAAGGTTCCCTCTAGGGCAGCAGGATCCCTGTGGGGTGTGTGTGTGATGCACTTGTAGGTTAAATTCCAGTTCTGATCATCTGGGTAAAGCTACAGAAGGGTCGGGCCTCATCTGCAGAATAAATCTGAAGCGCTCTCGGGCCACTTTAATAGCGGTGCCAGACCACTGAATAGTTCTGACTCCACCCCCAAAAAAAACCCCCTCAGCACCCTTAAGAAACTACACTTCCCATGATTCTTTGGGGAGGGGGGAAATGTGGTGTAAGAATGCTTTAAAGCAGTGGTGTCCAAACGTTTTTCAAAGAGGGCCAGATTTGATGAGGTGAAGGGCCGACCAAAGTTTTTGACCTTTTTTTAGGGTTGAAGGTTTTTTTTAAGGATTTTTACCCCAGGAAATATACTGCCACAGGCGCACCAAATTTGGCCCACAAAATGAACTTTGGACATGCCTGCTTTAAATGTAATAATGCAGATGGGAGCTTTTACCTTGCCTTAAATGAGTTTACACAAAGTTCAAATGATGAAAAAAGCATTGTGCTCATCTGCTATGACTGAAAGGAATGCGGGTGGTGCTGTGGTCTAAACCACTTAGCCTCTTGGGCTTTCCGATTAGAAGGTCGGCGGTTCAAATCCCTGCAACGGGGTGAGCTCCTGTTGCTCGGTCCCTGCTCCTGCCAACCTAGCAGTTCGAAAGCAAGCCAGTGCAAGTAGATAAATAGGTATCGCTCCGGCGGGAAGGTAAACGGCATTTCCATGCGCTCTGGTTTCTGTCACAGTGTACTGTTGCGCCAGAAGCGGTTTAGTCCTGCTGGCCACAGGACCCGGAAAGCTGTCTGTGAAGGAAATAAGCAGCTATCTTCTCTTTAAAAGACATCTGAAGGCAGCCCTGTTTAGGGAAGTTTTTAATATTTAATGCTGTATTGTTTGTAACACTCGATTGGGAGCCGCCCAGAGTGGCTGGGGAAACTCAGCCAGATAGATGGGTGGGGTATAAATAAATTATTATTATTATTATTATTATTATTATTATTATTATTATTACAGACTGAGCAATACCAGACAACAAGTCTGGCTCCCTCAGCCTGAAAGCGAGATGAGCGCTGCAACCCCATAGTCACCTTTGACTGGACTTTACCGTCCAGGGGTCCTTTACCTTTATAAGAAAGAAGTGTTTATGAGTTGCTGCATTCATGTATGCTGCTGAGGTGAGGGAAACAAGGAAATGATGCACAATTTGTCCCAGTTTGGAAGCCTTTGCTGTTTTAGGTTGTTCTCCTAAAACCAATCTAGTTCACTTATACAGTGGTACCTCGGGTTAAGCACTTAATTCGTTCCGGAGGTCCGTTCTTAACCTGAAACTGTTCTTAACCTGAAGCACCACTTTAGCTAATGGGGCCTTCTGCTGTCGCCGCGCCGCCGGAGCACGATTTCTGTTCTCATCCTGAAGCAAAGTTCTTAACCTGAAGCACTATTTCTGGGTTAGCGGAGTATGTAACCTGAAGCGTATGTAACCTGAAGCATATGTAATCCAAGGTACCACTGTAGTAACACAGCAGGGCACATGGTTATACAGACTTTCTCTTGTTCTGCTGTCTGCCTCTAACCCCCAAATAATAACTTCTGTTTATTAAAAGTCCCATTGATATCACATGTTTAACAGCACAGCCCTATATATAGGACTACTTAGTGATCAGTCCCATTGGGCTCAGTGGGGCTTGCTGCCAGGTAAGTGGGTACAGGATTGCTGCCTTAATTATCCCTATATTGAAATTAAAAAGCTCGCTCTAAAATAAAACGTCACTTTAAAAGCTGCTGCAGAGAATCCGTATAACATCTTGAGCCTCTGACTCTGCCTGCGCCTCAAAGAATTCTGGGCACTGTAGTTTGTTAATGGAATTATAGTTTGCTGGGGATTGTAACTCTGTGAGAGGTGAACTAGAGTTCCCAGAAGTCTTTCAGGGTGGTGGGAGAACGTGCTTCAAATGTGCAGTGTGTACACGGCCACTTAACTCCAACCCGAAGTCCTCAAATGTTCCGGCCTGAAACTCCACCCGGCCAGCACATCTCCGGTGGGCAAAGACTGTTCCGGAAATAATAATAATAATTTATTATTTTTACCCCGCCCATCTGGGTGGGTTTCCCCAGCCACTCTGGGTGGCTTTCAACAGAATATTAAAATACAATAGTCTATAAAACATTAAAAGCTTCCCTAAACAGGGCTGCCTTCAGATGTCTTCTAAAAGTCTGGTAGTTGTTTTTCTTTTTGACATCTGGTGGGAGGGTGTTCCACAGGGCGGGTGCCACCACCGAGAAGGCCCTCGGCCTGGTTCCCTGTAACTTGGCTCTTTGCAATGAGGGAACCGCCAGAAGGCCCTCGGAGCTGGACCTCAGTGTCCGGGCAGAACGATGGGGGTGAAGACTCTCCTTCAGGTATACTGGACCCAGGACGTTTAGGGCTTGAAAGTGTAGCACCCTGCTTGTGGTTAACGCTTAGCTGGAATGAAATATTCAACGCAGCAACAGAGAAATTAAAATAATAATTTATTTGTCAGACAAATAAATGATAGGCACAGTGGTATATGGTTACCAAAGCTCTGCCCACTCCAGCCCTGATGGCCAGCACTTACATTTCCTCAGCCCAGCCCCCTTGCTCCTCCTTTGGCTGCCTCTGTCCAATCAGCCTGGTTGAAATTCCTATTGGCTGTTTGCTAGAACCAATCATAA